AATGGAGCGAACGCCGCCGACCAATATACAATTTTCTTTGTCCTGGGCTTCCCTTTATGTTGTAACGCTAGCTTGAAATAATTCCCAGCTGATACATTGGAGAAGTTCCCAAGAATCAAAACATGGTTGAACAGGAAAACATTATATTCCAAAATAGCAAGGTTAATGGAAATAAGAAGCCAAAGCTGATGGCCAAGGCAAAATAGATACAACGTTAGTTTATTTATAGCATTTACATGAGAAACTTCTGGATAGAAATTCACGTGATCGACTGGATTAGATTTAGCCAATCAGCATGCAGCTCACAGTACGAGAATTTTCTATCCTGTTCTCCAAGAATCGATCAGGTGCTGATTGGATAGGAAATTAACCAGTCAGCGCGCAGCAACGTAGTGATGCTTTAATTCCATCTACGTCCCACTAACACTTTTCAGTTCTTTTCAATTGTTGTTCATTCTTCTTATGTTTTTCTCTAATACCCGACTTCATATGTTCTTTGGTCTTTCGCTTTTTCTTTGAATTTGAGGGTTCCAAGTGGGGGCTTGTCTTGTGACGCAGTTGGGTGCTTTTCGCAGTGTGCGTCCTCGTGTGCTGGAATCTGGTTCTTTCCCTACCACAGTAGGTTGTTGCTGATAGTGTCTGGCCAACGAATCTGAAGTATTTTGCTTAGATAACTGTTGATTAACCGTTTTAGCTTCTTGATGATGGCTTTGGTAGTTCTCCAAGCTTCCGCTCCATACAGTAAAACTGTCTTGACATTTGTATTGAAAATTCTGACTTTGGTGTTTGGTAATCTTGCTCTGGATTCCGTGCTTCCTTCTTGATGTTGACGTGTTCATAATGCCGTCGATCACCAGGAGAAGGAGGAAGGTCGAGAGCAAGCAACCTTGTCTGACGCCGGTCTTCACCTCGAGAGAGTCTGTTAGCTGTCCTTCGTGCACGATTTCGCAGTTTAATCCATCATAAGGATTCCGAATGATGTTGAATATCTTCTCAAGGACGCCGTGGTGTCGAAGAAGCCTCCACAGTGTTTTCCTATCCACGCTATCGGATGCTTTCTCGTAGTCGATAAAGTTGTTGTAGAGTGGTGAGTTCCACTCCATTGATCGCTCCACAATTATCCGTAATGTTGCAATTTGGTCGGTACATGATCAATCTTTCCGAAATGCAGCCTATCCTCGTTCCTTTCTCCCAATCCATGTCTTCCGATGATTTCTTCACATCCAGTGTTGTCTATTCCGACCTTTGTGTTTAAGTCTCATCGAAATTTTCCGGTCAGTTGTTGTGCGTTTCTCAATGACTGACTGCAACCTCTCATAAAGCTGACCTTTATCGTCTTCATTGATATTGTTGGTGGGCGCACGATATTGAATGATATTCATAGTAATCGTCTCCTTTGTTTTAAAAGATGCTTTGATGATCCTGGATCCACGAGATTCCCATCTTATAGATGTATTTTGTGCTTCTTTGGACAGCATCAGTGCAATTCCTTGTGTGTGAGAGGCATTTTTTCTCTATGTTCGGAGCATAACAACATCTCTCTTTGTCTCCAATAGATGTCACTTATTCGAGGCACCACCAGGTTATATCTGTTCATTCTTGCAGCAAGTTGAATGGTTCTCTTTGTCTCGCACATTATTAGAACACTCCATGTACCTATGTTAATTGTTGCGCTGGTTGTTAGAAGGGACTTCAGCCCCGGGACTTCCGAAGTCACTCAGTCAGTTGCAACGTAGAACGTGTATCTCTATCAATATTTTTGGCTTCTTGTCTTTTGTCTAAAAATAAACACAATTTCATTTACTGATCGAGCTTATGTTTGAGAGACATACAATTCTTTGTCTCCTTCTGCGCTCCTACTGACTGCATGCAGCTCAGATGGCATAAAAGACGAGTTTTACAGGAAGCTTTCGGACCTCATCCTAAACGTTAGGTGTTCTGATGTAGTAATGGTGACAGTTACTTTATTGCAAAAGCATGCAGACTAAGCGAAACTGAGAGGCATGGGTGGATTCTATGGTTTCACAGCTGATCGAACAGATAATGGCGACTGTCTGTCACAGCTATACTCAGATAACCTATTTCTGACAAATAATGAACTTAACCGTAAGGAGAAACATCTTTCGACATGGCGACCACCGTAGTCAACTCAACGATGGACTCAACCAGACCACATCGCTACCAGCGACAGATGGAGTGGCTCACTAGGAGATTTCCGCTCATTCTGAAGCACATGTTTATATTCTACCTGGTTGGGATCCACGAGACGATCGTAATCGATGTTTAGAGACCTTGAATAACATGGCGCAGTAACCGATGGTTTGAAGTGACATAGCTGGAAATCGTTTGCAATGGCACGGTGGCACCCATTATTTGAACTCCCTCAAATTCTAGTGGCCTTTACTTTTCTCTTCTCAAACTTATATCACTAGATTATACTTCTGGAATAATTTCTTCGTTTCCTAATCTTTTCGATTACCGCTAATGATTCTGCTACTTCTACCAATATGGGATCTAAATTGACAATTGTATCTCTGTGTGCTAATGTGGTATGGCAACCTAAAGTGATGTATGTACGTATGAAGTTCCACATTGTATTAAAAATATGTCTAGGTGCTTCTCCATGTATGGGGAGTCAAATTTAAGTTATTATGAAATATAAAACGCGCCTTAAACTCTTTTTCCAGGAAACACCGGCTGAGTGAGGATATACAACCACCCTTCTCCATTTTTTCGTTTAGACAGTGCGGTTAATCAAAGTCGTTCTATCTGACCATTCCTTTTGAACTCTGCTGTCGATTACGTTCTAGAAATATTTCTGATGGATGTAAGTTATGGCAATGCGGGTGTCTTACCTGGCGAAAACTTTCTAAACTGTGCGGTGATAATTCAGACACGCAATCCGTACGTGATCAGTTGGTAGTCATCTTTACTGCATTTTTTGCCGGCTGTTAGACTAACTGAAAAAAGCAGATAGGTGGTCATTGTATGACAGCATTGTATTATGAAGGAAAGCCTTACAGGACTGGTATTTGTTGGTCTTCACAACTCAGTGACTTGAGACTCTATCGGACATGACTCAGAATGGAAGTCGCTGATAGTCTTACTTTTATTTCTTTTCCCCTTTTTAACTGAAAGAATTCATCTCCAACTTGCTCTGTTCTGGTGCTTCCTTTCTAGCTCTGTCCAATTGTTATTAGAAGAGGATTTTCGTGACAACCTCATTTACTTAAGCTGTACAATCGTATTTCGATGGTTAATTTTATTTGCAGAAATAATTAATTACTTACCTACTTACGTCTTGGTGGGTTTATAACGTGAGAATGCTTTTTTCCCCTTATCTTATCTTCGATTCTATGGAATTCTTGAATATTCATAAATCTAGTTTATGGAGGATAAAACGTCTGTAAAACCATAATTCTTCTTCCTAACGACCTGTTGATAGTAGTCTATCTTTACTTATGAAACCAAGGTTATAATTGATATTCCTAGTAAGAAGAATGTACCTTGTTATCTAATAAAACGATTCGCGCTACGGATTTCGGTTGTAAATAGCTGAGGATGCATTCCGTTACCATATTTGTTCTTTTTTTCAAATATATATACTTTGATTAGCTAATAGCTACTCTTATTTTTCAGGTATTCAAAGGTAACGTTCTCAAAAAATGATAATTTTAATGCAGATGACTTATGAATTCTTTAGAAAATTAATCACATTTCGTTATTCAAATAAAATAAGTTGTTTAAAAATAATTCTTTGAGTAAAGGGGATAAGTTCATATATATATATATATATATATATATATATATATATATATATATATATATATATAATAGTCACCTTTTCTTCAGAATTGAAACTGCAATACCCTATAAATTACGAACTCTAGTATTTTCAACGTTTTTACGGAGACCGATGGTATGTTGTTGACTATGTTGTATCTGGCAGCGCTCAAACACTAGTAGTTTTTGATTGATTGATCCCCGTAGTCTGCAGAAGTTTCGAAAAACCCAGAGTCTCTGTCACATCGCGGCTCGATATAATTCCTAGAATATCAATGTGACAAGGTTTTTGGGTGATGACGTAGAAGAATTGGATGACTAATAATGTTTTCATTGTGTACAAGAAACTTTAATTAGAAGTAGAATGAGGGTTCGAGTTTCCAACATAGTAATGAATGAAAGTTGAGTGTCCCATAAACTACCAAGAAGTCCAATCAACTTTAGTGGAACTACATACAACTAGGAACATTTTCGATGAGAGCATCTCTAGCATGTTATATCATCTAACCTGAACGGTTTTGGTAACACAATACGGGAACAGTCAGAATACTACCAAGAACAATCGGATTCAAATTGTTAGACAATTAATGAAATAAACTTGTAATTTCAACATAATATGAAGTTACTCTACAATAGAGATGGATTGGTGATAGAAGGTTGTTACGCCTGCACGTAAACACGTCAATTTGATATGCTTGGACTATTACGAGTTTACCTAGTCGGAAAACGAGAGCGAGGATCGAGGATCCGGCGACACGACATGCTACTCTCATCCGATTATCCCAACCCCCATATTGAGTAAAAATAAGAAGACGCGATATGAAGTAGAACCTGTATTCTACAAGCATCCAGAAGTAAGAGGTCCGAGTCCAGAAAAAAATCAGGATTCCTGGACGGGTCCTGGTCATAAAAAGTTACAGATAATGCGTATTTATGCATTTCGGTCGAATAGGAAACAGCATCGAAGTCTGTGACATTGACGGTTAAGACGACCAATAGGAAGTAACATTTGAAGTGACATTGATACCTAGGAGAACCATAAAATTGACCAGTACGAATTAACCAATAGGAATTGACCAATCATTCTCTTAGGATATTGGGTGAATATCCTAACAGTAAAATTCGGACAGGTTAAATTTATTAAATTATAAATTCATTTTTCCCTGTGTTGCGGCGCGTCGTCCGAGTTTGATATGAATCCCAACCGGCTGCATGAATAAGAGGGATCCATTATTGACTGATGGAAATGGTATACATTGTAACTCATTCATGTACCTATATCATCTAGAAAATGAAGCCACTAAAGATGTAGTATCATTTCTGAGAAACGTTTTAGCTAGTCACATCATCTTATCTTCCGAAAAAATTTTCTGATCGGCTCATCGCATCGAATCCACATTTAAGTTACATATTCAGTGGCGTATCAAATCTGACCAGTTTTTTCGGTTGCGAGTCATATCTTAAATCAAGTATACCATAGAAAAACTAATTTGTTTCTGTTACACTTGGACAAAAACACAATCTGTTTTGATTTAAATGAGAAGAAAAAGACAACTGTTTCTAATTTGAGTAGTTGTACATTTATTAACTAGAAAAGCCCTTTTCATTTAATAATTATTTCTGAGTGAATAATAGTATTTGTACTGTTTTGATTGCTGTGTAAAATAAGTGTGTAATTGTCGTTGTCATCGTTCAATATCTCTTGTTGCATATAAAGAATACGAATAGGAAGTCCGAATGAACAAAAAGACTGACGGTTAAAAGAAGTCAAATACAGAATAGCTTCTTCTTACAGACCTACTGTGTGCATTAAACTTTATCACTGTTATATAGTAGGTTGAATCACAAATACAAGATCCATTCTACATAATTGAACATTCAACATTATATAGACAGATAACCATTCGCAATCAGTATACAGAAAAAAATTATGTATATATAAACCGGATTAACTTGATCAGTTAAAGCAAGGAACGAAAGAAGGGTGAACAATGGCACAAAATAAATTTCATCTACAGAAAATATTGAAAGGGTCAAGTCGTTGATACAGTTTACTGGATAATACAAGGAAGATGAAGTACATGCACACACACACACACGAACAATACTAGTACAGTTGAAAAAGGTGAGGAGGATCAAAAGAAGGCTAGAAACTATGGGTACATTAGTTTGAAGATAACCAATTCATCAAGTTGGTGAATTGATCTTTGTATTTAGTCATAATGACATCCATAAAGGTTTTGACAATGATGACGATGTTATAGTTAACGATAAGTACAAAAAAAATACATAGTTTGTTTAGTTAGTTATAGGTTTTGTCTGTCTTATACGATATGAAATGATAAAAGACTGAAAAAAGTATATATATATATATATATATATATATATATATAAACAAATATAACTGCACATAAGAGAAAAAAAGAAACTGCAATTTCAACAGAATAACGTTTACAAAAAAAAATCATACACAATTATAAAAAACCGTTAAAAGTGTTTCACAAACAGCAGCAACGTGGTACAGTAGAGGTGATGAGCTCTCTTAAAATCCAATTAAATGGAGACCAAAGACAAGGAAGGAAAAAATGTGAATAATCAATATGAATAATTCTTTTCTCTCAGGCTGTTCTAGGGATATAGTTGATGATGATAGACGATTTTTCTTTTATATATATAAATTATGAACTAAGAAATAATGCAAAGATGTGTTGCATCATTCAATCTAGACGTATGTAGGTTTGTGTGTATGTGGTGTATGAAAGGCATGATATGGCAGGTTGGTTACCATAATAACAATGGCAAAAAAAAGAAACAAAGGAGAGTAAAATAATAGTACGAATAAAAATAATAATAATAATAAATATTTTAATCCTGTGTTTTCATTTTTCTTGAAATAGTGATAATGGTGACCAAACAATCATATCGACGGCAATAATATATATATGAATGATAATAATCACAATAATACTTCGATTATTAACCACCACCACCGCCACCACCAATCCATCTATTTTTACAATGAAAAAAGTCATTTGAATTGTAACGCACCTCCGCAACTCCTTCAATCAGGCACATGTGACATATAAGCTTATTCTTTATTAACATTTATATCTGAACGAAGAAATGGACAGGATTCACAAATCACAGAACTCTTAATGCTGCCATTATTATGCTGATGATGATTGCCAGTTGGAGGTGAAGACAAAACATCACGAACGACACCACCGCCAGAGCCATTACTATCACTGCAATTCAATAAGGGACGAGCTCGAACACGATAAAATATGAAGTTTTTAGGCAAATTGAATCGATTATTTGCCTATGCACAAAAAGAGATCGGAAGGAGAAAAGAATGAGGAAATATAAATTTAATGCAATTACATATAAGATGGTTGAAAGGGGTTGACACTAAGCAGTGAACCTCCATTACATGCTGCTCTTAATCCTGAAGGAATTTAACCATAAGCCACTCAATTTCACAGTCTGAGATGTGACCGATCATGCTAAGTGACAGGGGATCGGATCCACCAAGAAGTATTGGTTACCCCAAGATCAAAAGTACCGATTGTTAACGAGTGCCAAATGACATGAAGCTTAGATTGAGGGTTTTTTGTCGATAACTGCTAACCCGACCAAGAGCCCCCTCGAGGATTACTGCCGGTCCCAAGCCCCCATAAGTGAAGAGTTTTGATCATGGGGGTTAGCGACCACATCCCGTAAAAAACTAACACGCTAAAAAAACACTGACCAAAAAATTAATTCAGACCATGTAAACTCTGTCCCGGAATTCTGACGTCTCATAATGATAGTCGAGTTCTTTCGGAAGTTAGCCTCGATTATCCTTAGACGTCTAACTAGAGCTAGTGAAGAGCAGACTCAAGAAAACCAGTCTGGTTTTAGACCTGGACGTGGCCCAATAGACCACATTCTCACACTACAACAGGTCCTGGAACATAGACACACATTTAGGCGTCCTACAATAGTTGTTCTCCTGGACCTTAAGGCGGCATTTGACTCTGTGAATCGTGAGGTTCTTTGGCAGTGTCTATCGTTGAAAGGTGTACCAAAGAAGTACATTAACCGTATACAAGCTCTCCACTCGAACACTACAGGTCGAGTGAGAGCTTATGGCGAACCGTCATCGGAATTCTTTACTTCAAGTTCTACGTTGCAACTGACTGAGTGACTTCGGAAGTCCCGGGGCTGAAGTCCCTTCTAACAACCAGCGCAACAATTAACATAGGTACATGGAGTGTTCTAATAATGTGCGAGACAAAGAGAACCATTCAACTTGCTGCAAGAATGAACAGATATAACCTGGTGGTGCCTCGAATAAGTGACATCTATTGGAGACAAAGAGAGATGTTGTTATGCTCCGAACATAGAGAAAAAATGCCTCTCACACACAAGGAATTGCACTGATGCTGTCCAAAGAAGCACAAAATACATCTATAAGATGGGAATCTCGTGGATCCAGGATCATCAAAGCATCTTTTAAAACAAAGGAGACGATTACTATGAATATCATTCAATATCGTGCGCCCACCAACAATATCAATGAAGACGATAAAGGTCAGCTTTATGAGAGGTTGCAGTCAGTCATTGAGAAACGCACAACAACTGACCGGAAAATTTCGATGAGACTTAAACACAAAGGTCGGAATAGACAACACTGGATGTGAAGAAATCATCGGAAGACATGGATTGGGAGAAAGGAACGAGGATAGGCTGCATTTCGGAAAGATTGATCATGTACCGACCAAATTGCAACATTACGGATAATTGTGGAGCGATCAATGGAGTGGAACTCACCACTCTACAACAACTTTATCGACTACGAGAAAGCATCCGATAGCGTGGATAGGAAAACACTGTGGAGGCTTCTTCGACACCACGGCGTCCTTGAGAAGATATTCAACATCATTCGGAATCCTTATGATGGATTAAACTGCGAAATCGTGCACGAAGGACAGCTAACAGACTCTCTCGAGGTGAAGACCGGCGTCAGACAAGGTTGCTTGCTCTCGACCTTCCTCCTTCTCCTGGTGATCGACGGCATTATGAACACGTCAACATCAAGAAGGAAGCACGGAATCCAGAGCAAGATTACCAAACACCAAAGTCAGAATTTTCAATACAAATGTCAAGACAGTTTTACTGTATGGAGCGGAAGCTTGGAGAACTACCAAAGCCATCATCAAGAAGCTAAAACGGTTAATCAACAGTTATCTAAGCAAAATACTTCAGATTCGTTGGCCAGACACTATCAGCAACAACCTACTGTGGTAGGGAAAGAACCAGATTCCAGCACACGAGGACGCACACTGCGAAAAGCACCCAACTGCGTCACAAGACAAGCCCCCACTTGGAACCCTCAAATTCAAAGAAAAAGCGAAAGACCAAAGAACATATGAAGTCGGGTATTAGAGAAAAACATAAGAAGAATGAACAACAATTGAAAAGAACTGAAAAGTGTTAGTGGGACGTAGATGGAATTAAAGCATCACTACGTTGCTGCGCGCTGACTGGTTAATTTCCTATCCAATCAGCACCTGATCGATTCTTGGAGAACAGGATAGAAAATTCTCGTACTGTGAGCTGCATGCTGATTGGCTAAATCTAATCCAGTCGATCACGTGAATTTCTATCCAGAAGTTTCTCATGTAAATGCTATAAATAAACTAACGTTGTATCTATTTTGCCTTGGCCATCAGCTTTGGCTTCTTATTTCCATTAACCTTGCTATTTTGGAATATAATGTTTTCCTGTTCAACCATGTTTTGATTCTTGGGAACTTCTCCAATGTATCAGCTGGGAATTATTTCAAGCTAGCGTTACAACATAAAGGGAAGCCCAGGACAAAGAAAATTGTATATTGGTCGGCGGCGTTCGCTCCATTGGACGTTACAGACGTAAGTAGGTAAGTAATTAATTATTTCTGCAAATAAAATTAACCATCGAAATACGATTGTACAGCTTAAGTAAATGAGGTTGTCACGAAAATCCTCTTCTAATAACAATTGGACAGAGCTAGAAAGGAAGCACCAGAACAGAGCAAGTTGGAGATGAATTCTTTCAGTTAAAAAGGGGAAAAGAAATAAAAGTAAGACTATCAGCGACTTCCATTCTGAGTCATGTCCGATAGAGTCTCAAGTCACTGAGTTGTGAAGACCAACAAATACCAGTCCTGTAAGGCTTTCCTTCATAATACAATGCTGTCATACAATGACCACCTATCTGCTTTTTTCAGTTAGTCTAACAGCCGGCAAAAAATGCAGTAAAGATGACTACCAACTGATCACGTACGGATTGCGTGTCTGAATTATCACCGCACAGTTTAGAAAGTTTTCGCCAGGTAAGACACCCGCATTGCCATAACTTACATCCATCAGAAATATTTCTAGAACGTAATCGACAGCAGAGTTCAAAAGGAATGGTCAGATAGAACGACTTTGATTAACCGCACTGTCTAAACGAAAAAATGGAGAAGGGTGGTTGTATATCCTCACTCAGCCGGTGTTTCCTGGAAAAAGAGTTTAAGGCGCGTTTTATATTTCATAATAACTTAAATTTGACTCCCCATACATGGAGAAGCACCTAGACATATTTTTAATACAATGTGGAACTTCATACGTACATACATCACTTTAGGTTGCCATACCACATTAGCACACAGAGATACAATTGTCAATTTAGATCCCATATTGGTAGAAGTAGCAGAATCATTAGCGGTAATCGAAAAGATTAGGAAACGAAGAAATTATTCCAGAAGTATAATCTAGTGATATAAGTTTGAGAAGAGAAAAGTAAAGGCCACTAGAATTTGAGGGAGTTCAAATAATGGGTGCCACCGTGCCATTGCAAACGATTTCCAGCTATGTCACTTCAAACCATCGGTTACTGCGCCATGTTATTCAAGGTCTCTAAACATCGATTACGATCGTCTCGTGGATCCCAACCAGGTAGAATATAAACATGTGCTTCAGAATGAGCGGAAATCTCCTAGTGAGCCACTCCATCTGTCGCTGGTAGCGATGTGGTCTGGTTGAGTCCATCGTTGAGTTGACTACGGTGGTCGCCATGTCGAAAGATGTTTCTCCTTACGGTTAAGTTCATTATTTGTCAGAAATAGGTTATCTGAGTATAGCTGTGACAGACAGTCGCCATTATCTGTTCGATCAGCTGTGAAACCATAGAATCCACCCATGCCTCTCAGTTTCGCTTAGTCTGCATGCTTTTGCAATAAAGTAACTGTCACCATTACTACATCAGAACACCTAACGTTTAGGATGAGGTCCGAAAGCTTCCTGTAAAACTCGTCTTTTATGCCATCTGAGCTGCATGCAGTCAGTAGGAGCGCAGAAGGAGACAAAGAATTGTATGTCTCTCAAACATAAGCTCGATCAGTAAATGAAATTGTGTTTATTTTTAGACAAAAGACAAGAAGCCAAAAATATTGATAGAGATACACGGATAAGTCAGTCAACAGAAAGAGAGATAGACTTACTCGTCTGGATAAACAACGTTCTTTGCTTTTGTATCTTGCAGCGACAAAATAATTATATGGTGGGAACGCTTCTTTAAATGACATGTTTCTGTGTTGAGATGAATCTATTAACACAAATTTATATATATATATATACAAGGGTGAGACAAAAAACAGCGTGCCTTGATTTAATTGAACGCTTAAAAAATGGCTTGAGTACTTAGCACGAATGATTAGCGACAACGAACGCTATCTGGATGACTTGATACTTCATGACTCAGAAACTCGATTTCGCTTTAACACAAAGAGCTCTAATTCGAATGGTGACGTAGTGTTGTCAGCCCTTATACAGACAGGATTGCATCATGAAGCTGTACATACGATTTTCAAATTACCTTCTCATTCAGAAGGTCAATAATAAAGGGAAGCAGTTTTGTTTAAATGATTGTGGAAAGCTGTAAGATTTAATTTACTTACAGATGAATTTCTTGAATATCCTTATACTGTCATACATAGGTCTTAGCAGCGAACTAGTCAAAAAAGGTAACTATGTATATAACTAACAATCATAATGTTTCTAAAATGTAAATCAATACAGATAGTGCAGAACCCGAAAAGTAGTGATCAATTTGAAAGAGAACAATAAATACACTGAAAAGTTACAGGGAAAACAAAAGGTAGTCAAATAAAAAAGGTCAGAGTAATAAGCAGCGGTGGGCGTTTAACTCAAATATTGTTGGTTGATCTACTCTTTTCGATTGAGATCAACAAAACATAATACAGATATCAATCCCTCATATGTTCAACAATAACATGCAGATCTCAAGTTGGATTGCAAAAATGCAGCAATTACACAGATGTATTTTGAATCCCTAGTCTTTACTAACTTTTAAAATCAAAACATACAGAACAATACTTGGAATCTGTTAGCTACTTTTGCCCGGAAAAACTATTCAAAATATATACTTACTAGTTTCCAATAAGTTAGAATTCACCGGCTTACAATAATCTATATGATCATCAATATTCAGTGCTTTAAAATCATCTTGATGTAAAAAGTAGACATGACCATCTGAAGACAACATACGCCATTGAACATAAGTTATAGTTGGTGTGGATGTTGTTAATGATGCTTCTGTTGTTGGTATGATATTAACAGCGGTGCTGCTAAAGCAACCAGAAGTAGTAGAGGTTGAAGGTAAAAGAGTACCATAATTACCGCTAAATGTGTTTGTACATAACTCATTAGCTAAAGCAGAATTACTACTGCTATTGCTTGCAGTGCAAGTGATTTTATTCATAGACGACATAATATTCAATGCATTGCTGTTACTTGTGCTTATAGTAGTGACAGGCGCAGCGGTATCGGTAGTGCTAGCATCAGAGCTTCCTATCGACGAATTCATAAATATTGACGAACAGAATGGTAGTGATGATTGAACAATCATTGACGATAATAAACTAGATGATGGTGAAATAGCATCTAGGAGATTCGATGAGAATTTACTACTCCTTGACCAAATATCAGATTTAGTTATAATTGTTGTTGAGTCGTGATCTTTATTATTATTATTATTAGTGTTATTATTATTACCATTCCTACTACTACTACTACTACTAGTAATAGTAGTAGCAGCACCATTATCTGTTTTTACAAAAGTTTGTGGTGGAATCGAACTTGAAGTAGTTGTTGGTGTTGGAACAGTAGTGATGGCAGTGGTGCCAGATAGAAAAGCGTTTGACGTTGATGAAATACTTGGTTTAGTTCCTGGGACAGGAACAAAGATCACAATATCATCCGGCAAAAAGCTAAGTATAAAAGCAAGGAAAAATGAGGCATGAATTATATATATATATATATATATATATATATATATATATATATATATATATAATCAGTTAAATTATTTGAAAAAATACGCAAAGTACGAGATGAACACTTTACTTTAAAGTTAATTGGTGTACAGAAAAATGATGGTATTTATAGAGTTATTCATGATCTAAGGCTTCTGGAAAGTTTCAAAACCGTACTAAATATAGTAGAGGTATAGCTGTTATTTCAATGTCGTTAATTACTGATGATGTTAATTTCTTCTACCCATCACCTTGTACATAGATGAAGTTTAGCAAATAGAGAGAAGAGTATTGCATTTCCGTGCACATTCTAAAGAATTTGTGACTGGGAGGTGCAGCGACTTAAAACAGTGAAATAGCCCGGTATTCAATTGATATGAAACACATCAGTGACATCTGCCAGTCCTTCAAAATCATCAAAGGTGGAAAAAGCATCCTCTTCTTGGTTTGCCGAAATAATAGCAATTATGTGTCCGACAGTTTTCAACTTATCACTATCATGGTAATTTTTTGTTATTTATTATCGTCGTTAATAATCATTATTTTTTGTGTTCATTTTGTTACGAAATCATCACCAGATTTTATGCACGTCAAAATTGTCCTTTCATTTATTCGTTGCTCTAAACTTATGCAAATCCCTTAGAATCTTGCTTAATCATTAAGTAACCTTTCAAATACTAAGTCTAAAAAACTTCTCTAAAGTTTGTACATTTTTCATAGCTTCTGTAATAATCACACGATCTATCTTACCTGCTTCCTGACTTTATTTAATTACTTTCTCGCCCCCTCCAATTGGTTTTATCTGAACTCCTATAAATGATATCACTACTATATATATATATATATATATATATATATATATATAATTACTTATGTGGTTGTAAGTAGCTGATGAGAAATCGTGAAATATAATGAATTCGTATTATATTGCTTCAATCGCTGTTCTAACCTTATTTAAATCATCGATAAACTTATTGAAATAGATAGAGCATGATGACACAGTAAACATTACAAACATCGGATGTTGACTCAACATGCAGTACAGAATTTAAAGAACAATAAAAATTAACTCACTTAGAATGCACAAAACTAGTAAAACGTTCATTAGGTAATTTTGATGAAATATTAGTGATACAATAAGATTCAGTTGAACTATTGCAAGTCTGCCGATTGTTGTGATTTTGTTGTTGTTGTTGTGGTAATATCGGAGAAGTAGAACGAGAAACAGTTGACAATAGAATATGATTATCATTATTATTATTATTATTAATAGTAGTAGTAGTCGTAGTACTTGTTAATGAAGAAGTTAGAATAGTCGAATCCTGATGATGTTTGTCATTCAATAAAATAAAACATAATAATGAAACAGTTTATTGAGATTATTTATTAATCAATGATATAAAAAGAAAACTAACAAGTAAATAAGCATGTATGTATGTAGAATTTCTAATATTCAATAATGAAATCATGATTGATAATCTTATTTGGAGGAAATTTCTTAACAGACTTTCTAGTAGAATGATACACTAAACGAACGAATCAACTATATTTGAGAAAAAGAATCTATGATTTTTGCATGCAATTGAAAACGCGGTAAGGGATAAGTTGTGTATCACTTAAAGTTAGGTAAACATTACTGATATCTGATTCTGAAGATACTTGAGACTGTCAAATATTTCTGTTATGCAACCCACACTGTGAACGTAACAAGGTGTGAAAAATAAATTACAAAAAATAAGTTCCTCATGCAAATTGCATTGGTAAGGTTAATTTGTAGTTTAGCGCAATTGGACTCGATTCTTCATCATTATTAACTAAAAAGTAGTCGCTCTTCATTCGAATCTCAATTCCTAACCACAATCATATTCCGAATACAAAATTCAACATGTAAATGTTAATGAATCATATCAAAACTGTTAATTTATTTGTAATGTTTAATATAAATCATTTTATAACTAAATGCTATTCTCAAATTGTCTCAATCTCATCAGTATATTATGGTCATATTATTTTTCTTTTACAAAGACGTACAAGTCATTTTAGTGGCAGTAAACATTTTTGATGACATTCCGTAATTCTTAAAACATCCTTTAGAAGGTAAAACCAACTCAAGCAATCAGAATGCAGGTAGTCATGAAAACCCAAAAAGGACCAGGAGTAATGGATGGGAGAATGCTTTGTAGCTACACCGATGAATACTTTGTAGTTAGGCTATTTATTGGTTTTAAGTTTAAAGAAACTTTTAGTTATCTGCAACAATTCATAATTCATGATCTCTATTTTTAAATATCTCCATATTTATCAATTTTAAATATCTTAGCAACCAAATATCGGTAATTTGCACTTAGTCTTCAATAAGATAGAAAATATCCATCATTGCGTTTGAATTCCGTGCACAAATCCTATTGATCACCATCTTAAATTTGACTGACTTGTCAGTAATTTATATTTTTATTGTTATTTTTATTTAAAATAAATACTTCAACATTTATTATTTTTTAGTGCATAGATGTTGCGAATTTGTAAATTATTACCAGTCTTTATCATTAGTTATATTCATCATTTGCTAGTAGGATTGTGAAAATATATGGTTTACTTGACGAGTTTAACTATATTATCCTCTTTTAGACTCATGAACAGATAAACAAGACTCAATGCAATGAACGAACTTCGAATAGCAAATAAGTTATACTCAGTTTACTTTTTAATTTAATTTTCTAATAGTTTGTCTATCACATAGTGTTAGCATTCCTCAAAATGCACTGTTTTCGCAGAGATATATCTTATGCCTAGTTAGATATAGACTAAACTATAGGGTGTGGAGATTTTAAAGAATAACTCGAAGGAAATGTGTAAATGGTACATTTAGTGTATTGTTTTCATATTTTAAAAGTGCAGTGTCTAACTTTTCATAATAACGCTTTACTCCAAAAATAAAATAATGATAAATTATTTCTTCAAATCAACAGCATAAAAGTAGAAACTCGATAATCACGCATATTATATATATATATATATATATATATATATATAATTTCCACGTTAATTTTAAAACAATAACAATAATAATAATAATAATAATTTATACGTAATGTTTATCAATAAATTATTGAAAATGCGCGTTAGACATTGCAAATCAAGACATGTGAAAATGTGGCTACAAACTATTCTAAAAGAAAACCCGGACATGTATTTAGAATAGATGGATTGTGGCTAACAGGCGAATCCAAGATACATTTTATTCCACTTAGTACATATTAGCTGGATGTATCTGTATTGCTGATGTTGATGTTCACACTGAAAATCGAGTCTGGTACTTGTTGCTTCAAACGGGAAAACGTTATTTAGCATAGAACGAAACGTGTCCTAGATTCCACTGCTAGTCACAATCCACCTATTCTAGAAAGAAATGACTGAAAGATGGCTAAATTAAAGTTATCCGTTTAGAATGCATACATGTCAACTAGGATTACTTAAAACACAACTCTGAATATCAACCACGGGATAATTCAAAATGGTTCAAATATTCACGAAATATCTTCGGTGCTTATGTCACTTGGAAACATTGATTTGATAAATAATGTAATCCACGAGATTCCTCGACGTGACCACTCAGTAATCTATAAGGAACAATACAGTCAGGCTTAAAACGATATCTGTTATTACACAGTTTGGGTTGAAGGAACAAAAATACAGTCAGATGAATCCCGACATGATGAGATGTGAAAAACTGAATTCTATTGCTAACTATCGACAGGTTTGATTGTGAATGTAGATGATCTCTAATGTTGTTAGAGGTGTGAGGGCGGTTAGAACTTCCAGGTTGCCTACACCACAGTAGAAAGATCCTTGTCCTTGAGTTACCTAAAAAGAAAACTGGGTTAGCGGTGGCGCCTAAATTAATAATTATTTGAGACCGGTCATACGATCTCATCAACAGTTTTTTTTGTGATGTTTCCGTACAATTAAGAACCTACTTCATGGAGCTGTATGAAATGTATTATTCTCTTTAACCCCCACTTTCCGTTTAAGTAGATAGTATCGTTTCAGCACTAGTTGTATGACTGTAACACTGCAGCTTTAAACACTCAGCGGTACCATCTCACTAATGGACTGAATATATGCTACATTTTTATTTTTGCCTATTTTCTGATAAAGCAACGAGAAAACAAAGTTGATCTGAAAAATATGATATACTTGAGCAATACATTCTTGAACAACCTGATCACAAACTTATCAAGGCAATTTGTATGAAAATGAGAAAATGTCAATTAAACAAAAGTTCAAGTGAATATAACGTGATGATTGTAGATGAAGGAGAAAAACATATAATATAGAAAAGCAAGGGTCACATTATCCTAGGTCATACAATGATTCCAACTTCTTGTTGTTCTTTAATAGAACTCCATATAAAGGAACTAATTGAATGAAATTTTCGTACTTTATTTTTTTCAAAGTGAATTAGTGATTATAGGTCATGTATTTGAACTATGATATACCTCATTTTAGTTTGGGCAATTAATGATTAGTAGTAGTGTGGTGTGTGGTTGTAAAATATAAAAACACTACCCTAAATGCACCGTTTTCTTGATTAAATTGTCTCTTACAAATATTATCGGTCATTTATTCTTGTTGTTACTCCGATTGCTTTCATCTTTCTTTCTCTTCTCCCTATCTTCCTCTTCTGACAGTAATAATTTCATTTCCTGTTCTCGCTATATATTACTTATACACGTTCGTATAAGTATCGCACATTGCAGTATTACTACTGTAGTAGCGCTAGTCATTATAGTCAAAGTGACTTATACGTTGATAATCTAAATCAAAGTAGGTGAGTGTGAAAAGAAAAGGGATTTGGACGTATAACTCTACGATCGAAAGTGAAATGTTTTTATCAGTGTGGAATTAGAACAATCAATAAGCCTATGATAGTCATTCCTAACACTGAACAATGTAGATTGAGCACGGTGAACAAAAACAACTCAAATGAAATGTCAAATATATAACAGCCGACGAGAAATTAATTAAAGAAGGTAACAAAATAAGAAAAACTTACACAAACTGATGATGTTGTTAGTTCGAAATCAGAACCTAATAGAAGTATTGAAATAATAAACACATAGGAAAACACACGAAAATAATGATTGGTGATGAATTGATTTAAAGAGTTAAGACATAGAAACATAAACGACTAAACATAAAATATGTTAAAAATCACGAACTGATCTCAGTTATACAACCATTGAAAACAGGATGGTAGCGAAGAATTTTTTCAGATTAGTATGAGACATCTCAGCAGACTCACTGCAGAGAATCGAACCAAGGAACCTCGGTCTCGAGTGCGCACTGTTGAATAGTCCCAGGCTAGAACGAACAAATACCAAGTCATTCCTAGTCTTCGATATTTGTTTCAGTCAGTCAGTTACACCGTAGAACTTGATGCGTACTTAAATCAGTTCAAGTAGCCATACAACATTAGCACAAAGAGATGCAATTGTCGATTCAAAACCCATAGTGGTAGACGCAGCAGAAGTATTAGCGGTAATCAAAAAGATTAGGGAGTGAAGACATAATTCAAGAAGCATATCCCAGTGAAATAAATTTAAAAAGAGAAAGAATGAGGTGATGGGGAATTGAGGAGATTACAGTTTGAGAGATTACAGAGAATGAATGCACCTCTGCCATCACAGCCCTAGCTTTCGTCCAGGCACACATGTGCCAACCACTTCAACTGACGAAGATACACTACATCATCCATTCATCTGCCATCCTTATCTAGTAACCGTTTCCATCCACCATTATTGCTTACTTGATGATCCCAGGATATAGGAGCAATGCTTCGAAGACACCTATGATCTAATGCAAATAAACTATGAATTTCCTCGCTCCTTAATGGTCATGTCGATTTTTGTTTAACCAAGATTAACTTGTGATATTAACTATGAAATTCAAAAACCACCATAAACCCTCATAGTATACTGCTAAATGATCTTGAGTAGTTTTAACTAATCAGAAGACAACAAATGTGAATAATTACTTCATGGTAGAAAAAGAAAGAATTTACTGATATATTAATTTTACATGAGTAACAGTAAGTCGGTTGCATGATTTTAAACTGTTGTGGTTTAAAGTTAAGGTCGAGGGTAAATTGTCTACTCCGGAAGAACAGCACTTGGAACTGTACTAAAGAGTATGGCGTGGCGTTTTCTAAACTCAAGTCCATTATTAGCTCGAAATTATTATTTACACACTACGATTCATCTATGTCGATCATCGTAACAGCAGACGCTTCAGTGTATGGCCTAGGTGCTGTTATTTCGCATCAGTTTCCAGACGCGTCAGAAAAAGCCGTTATGCATGCATCCCGTACACTAACCCCAGCAGAAAAGAAGTACAGCCAGATAGAGAAAGAGGCTCTTGCCCTTGTGTTTGCTGTTCGCCGTTTCCACAAGTTTCTCTACGGTCGGAGATTCACGCTCCTTACAGATCACAAGCGTCTGTTAGCAATATTCGGTTCTAAATCTGGCATTCCAGCCAATTGTGCAAACCGTCTTCAGTGATGGGCCTTGGTGCTTTTGGGGTATGATTTCGAAATCCAATATCGACGCACTCTACGATTCGGTCAGGCAGACGCTTTGTCACGACTCATCAATGATCAAGTGGCGGCTGATGAAAACATGGTAATCACATCTCTGTCAGTGGAAGACCACGCGGAATGTTATCTGAGAACCGCAATACGGGCATTCCCGTTGTCTGCAACAGACACACAAAATGCCTCTAGAGACGATCCCATTACAAAGGTGATGATGAAATATGTCACTAACGGTTGGCCGTCGAAAAAGTCTTAGGGTGACATGAAGCAGCTGTATCAGCGGTGAGAGTCACTATGCATCGTAAACGACTGTTTGATGTTTGGTGAAAGAGTGGTGGAGCCAGAATTCCTTTCGTGCTAAAGTGCTGAGACAGTTCCATCTTGGTCATCCGGTGGTTAGACGAATGAAGTATACAGCCAGGAGTTATGCATACTGGCCTCTCATGGATCAACATGTCACAGCGGTGGTTGAAACATGCATGCGGTGTCAGCAAGCGGCAAAGATGAACGCCAAAGTTCCGCCAGTTTCATGGCCCAAACCTGATCATCCTTGGTCCAGGATACACGTTGACTTCGCTGGTCCAATTAATGGAACTATGTATTTAGTTGTGGTCGAAGCCCTTTCAAAATGGCCAGAAATCAGCCCTGTAATGCCGCCCACGACAATCAGAACAATACAGCTCCTCACTGAAATTTTCTCTCGAAATGACATACCAGATGTGATTGTAGCTGACAATTCTGAGCGTTCTGTCAACGGGTAGCCATCAAACACTTACGATCGCCCGCAGTCAAATGGGCGAGTGGAAAGGTTTGTGGATACGTTCAAAAGAGCATTGGTTAATTCAATAGGGAGGGCACACCAGCCGACGCGTTACAAAATTTCTTGTACATCTATCGAACAACACCAAATGAGTCGTTACCGGAGCAAAAGTCCCCAGTAGGAATCCTGATGGGAAGAAGACTGAAAACGATCCAGAGCCTGATGCATCCGACTAATGCGCCAACATCAGTAGAGACAAAGCCGCAAAGGCAATCCTTCTACGAAGTGGGATGTCCTGTGTTTGCCCGTGACTACAGACCAAACCATGGCCCTTGTGCAGAAGCGCGAGTGTTCAGAAGAGTTGGGCGTGTTATATACGAAGTAGAGGTAGGAGGCGATATATGGTCACGCCATCTTTCCCTTGACATCCTGATAGATATCTTCAAATTACCGGCAGTCCCACCACGATAAAATGCTCAGCTTACATTTCCCTCTGGGAAAATCCTTGACTGTCATTGGTTGACGAATTGTTTTAGTACGCTGTTTTGTAGCTTAGCAACCTCAATTTTTCTGGGTGCTTGTAGAATACGTTCTCTACGCCTTGTTGAGACTTCTTACTCCAGTTAGCGGGGTCTAGGACAATCGAATTAGAATAGCCTATCGTGTCACTGCATCATCCATCTGCGCTCCGTTTACCGAGTAGGGTGAACTCGTATTAGTTTCAAGGAATCATAAAGAAACTAACTGTTTAAATTTAGTATCATTATAATGATGATGATGATAGTTCAACTGAATACTTTCAGTTACATATTTATAAGTGGTGTTTTCAAATTTAATGTATTTATCAACCACGATGATCTAAGAGAGAGTAAGTCTACAAAGACGTAAACTTAACATAATATAACTTATTAATTAAGTGTAAGTTTAAGCGTTCAGTTTCAAACAATATCGCAATTGCAACGTAGTGCCTAAAACATGAATAATTTCACTAAGTCAGCCACCGATAAGCAATGTAGATTGTGGCACACATGTGAGTTGGTTCAATTTGCGAAATAACACACTGAGATGAAGTTGTCAAGAAGAAAATATAACAATAGAATTAGTAACATTAAGTAGTAGTAAAAAACTAAGTATAGACAGAATGATTCGTGAAGACAGAATGAATTCACGGAATATAATTGTTAGTGGGACGTAGATGGAATTAAAGCATCACTACGTTGCTGCGCGCTGACTGGTTAATTTCCTATCCAATCAGCACCTGATCGATTCTTGGAGAACAGGATAGAAAATTCTCGTACTGTGAGCTGCATGCTGATTGGCTAAATCTAATCCAGTCGATCACGTGAATTTCTATCCAGAAGTTTCTCATGTAAATGCTATAAATAAACTAACGTTGTATCTATTTTGCCTTGGCCATCAGCTTTGGCTTCTTATTTCCATTAACCTTGCTATTTTGGAATATAATGTTTTCCTGTTCAACCGTGTTTTGATTCTTGGGAACTTGTCCAATGTATTGTGGTCAGAGAATACTAAGCAATAGGATTTAGCTGGGAATTATTTAAGCAAGCGTTACAACAATAATGTACAACATAATTTCAAAACACCAAGTCCAAGGCACGACAAAAAATACAGTGTGTCTTGGTTTGACTGCCCCTAGTTTTCTTTTAAAAAACTCCTACTTCTGACAATATCGCAACACGAGGTACGTGCGAATTATGCATACACGCATATGTCAATTATCTCAGGCAAACAAGATTCGTTACCTGACCAACTAATTTGCGTCTTTGCCGAATATCCTATTCTTAACTTTCGTATTGCTCACTAGGTGGTCTCAATGCTTTAAAGACATCTGCAATCAAATATCATTACCCACGAATATCCTATTTTTGAAGGTTACATTTTTTTGGCTAGTAAGTAAGCCTAAATGAACTGCTAACCAATACACTCGATACAAAACTAACGTTAGAACTATCAATGAAAGTACACAACTCGACTAGCCACTAAAGAATGTTCTACAAGATTTCTCGATTGATAAAAAACTACTACTACCTAGGCATACACACAAAGTTATTTTTAGCACAACCAATTAACTACGAAGTCATGCAAACAGAGGGTGTACGTATGTGATGCATAACGCCCATTACATTGTAACTATGACAGAATTAGTCATAAAACAGCTAATGATCTAAAGAATCGAAACAAAAATAACAATTTTATAATCACGTGCAAAATGCAAATATCAATAACAACAGAGTATATTTAATTTGTATATAAATGTAATGTGCATCATATGAATCGACATTCATCGGTGCACACACACACACGGGTATAGCAACCACAACAAGTCAACTAATGATTAAAAATTTTTTAAGAGACTAACAAAAAGTGTATAGCCAGAAATTGATGATATTGTTTATTTTTTTGTAAAGACAAACTGCTTAAGTTTATTATTGCGACTGCTGATTAGAATCGATAACTATCTTTTAATATTTATAGAATTTATCTGAATTGGTATGAATATCAGTTAACACTCCAAACCATAGTCTACTCCTGGGATGTATCTACAGAGAACCTGACAGTTCTATTGATGTGAATGCTCTTATTATTAATAGATTTTTACATGCACCTGATCTAAATTTAGATAGAATAAATTCTCAAAGTCCCAATGAGAAGCCGTAACAAGTGGAGTTCAGTCTTATCGGATATGACCGGGTTACCGACCAAATACCATAGAAGATGGTTTCAAAATATCAAGTATGCTTTAAGACTAAATTTGTATATCGTTAGGTCCTGTCCTGGCTAAGTGATTTACAAGTTGAGCATCCGAACTCGATCCCCAATTGTGGGGTCGTGGATGTGCAATGTAGTGAAGCCCCATGCTAGGATCAAAACGACCATCCAGTGCTTTCTGTTTCTATAATCATTGATTTAACTTAGATCAGTTTGTGATTGCAATAAAATTCAACAATGTCCGTAACCCTATATTATTACTGCTTTAAGCACCGTATTTGTGTGCCGATGGCTGTAATGTTGAGTAACTATTAGAAATTTCAATTGTCCGTAATTAGAAATTACCGTAGGATCAACTAAACCCGATAGAATAGCTAATCGATCATATAAAGAACACGTACCTTTAGTTGGCATGTGATTAGGAATTGTTATTGATGATGTAGCCATATCCATGGTTTGAATTATTTCTGTTTGGGTTAATATCGACTCATATTTAGACGTGGAAATCGTGGGAACTGGATTATTATTATTATTATTGTTGTTCAGTTGTAAAGTTTCCATAAGAAATTGTAGAGATTTCTTGAAATCGAAATAATCGAATATCGTTGTATCATTCGTTTTATTATCATCGTTCAGCTGAATACAAGTAGTACATTGGACAATATATAACATTAAAATAAAAAAAAAAAACGTTATTAGTCCGATACAGACGAAAATGAAAAAATAAAATATGCTCCAAACATATCATAATTTGATTAGGCGAAAAGAATTTGTGGAAACTATTTAATTTCATAGGTTAAGTAACAAACTAACAAGAAGATGTGATACATTTGTTTAGTGATTTTTTGGTTTTTAATGGTTGTATAACTAAGGTCAGTTGGCTTGTAAGGTCAATTATAAATTTCAACAAACTACACAAACCCCATACACCAATAATAATGATAAATGTGCTCACTAGTGACTATTTTCCATGAAAAATCCCCAGAGTTCTAGTGATAGGGCATCTTATTAGTGCCGGGTATGAAGTGGTTAGCTACCCATCAATAGTATTGGAAAATAGCTGATGTGCAACATCTTGAATTGATTGAAATTAGATATATGAGAATGATTGGATGCAAAATCAGTAGTCTGAAGGTTAAGAACTGGTTATGAGTACTGGACATCTCAAGTTCGATATTAGCTGAGACAATGAAATCAATAATTTCAACATCATAATGAAATATATGTATGATGCTTTCTGCTTTTCAATGATTGTCTAATTAGAGTCAGTTCGTGATATGAACCATAAAGGATCACGTTTTTGATATATTGATTTTTCTTTTATAACTTTTACCTACTGTATAATGAGAGAGTTCCAAACTGTTTATAATTGGAAATTATTAGCAGTATAAGAACTGATAAATATTACAACCTAGATAACTAAGTCAATTTAGTGAAGTAGCTTGGACAGAAATCGATAAGTGAATTTTCTGACATGCATTCAATTAACAAGATCGCTGTTTGAAACAACGTGTCTTCAACGTTCTCAATGCTCACTGTGTTGTGTCCAGAAGTTCTTTTCTATAAATCTAGTGGGTGAATAATGTACATTTACAGTGTAATTTTCATTAGAGATTTCGAGCAAGTCCTAACACTTTCAATGAATTGATGTGTTTTTATCCAGTTGGTTAAGCTGTATTATATTAGTGTATTGATAACAGTCATAGATGTCTCCAAATGCTTACAATAAAGCTTCTAATAAAATGCTAAAACAATTATTGACTAGTGAAACTTGATTGTACAAATTGATACAAACATGGAGTAAGGGATCAAAACAAGCTGCACAACAAAGAAAGGATAGAAAATGTCGAACATTTTCATCATTAAAAATAACACTGAACCATTGAATAATTTCACCTATTCACATATATCCAATAAATAAACAAGTTCACTTACTTTTGAGTCACTTTCGATTGAATTTTCAATAATATTCTGAATCAATGTAGTGGATAAATCTGACTGATCAATACTCGAACAAGTATGATCATCACTTGACGACGTTGTTGTTTCTAATTCCGCAGAAGTAGGATGAGATGATTCACATGATATGTGTTTAGATTTTAAAAATAATAATGAACATGATACTAATACCTGTTGTTATTAAAAGAGAATATGGGAACCATGAGAGGGGCAATAAAGAAAATGAAAGGTTATTACAAAAATAAACATTAAAAAAAAAACAAGGTTTACTTTTATTAACGGTGAAGTAAAAAAGAGTCTAATTGTGGAGGTTGTTGATAAGAAATCATGAACCTAGCTTGAATCGAAATTCAAAGCAGAGTATTCTGTCGACCATATTCAATCACCTAATAAGTCAACAATCATTGTGTATGTGATGAAAAATCACTTAAATTACTTAGGGATATTGCTATTTAATCGGATAGAATTTGACTGGTGCACAAAGGTGTACGATGAATGGAACATTAGTTTCACTATTCATTATTAATCATAGACAGAAGTCTATTTTTTATGCTGTACAACTACAAATAAGTAAACTCATTAGAAAATTGGTTCATTTATTCTAATGTAGTTTTCTCCTAGCAGACTAATCATATGCTGTAAAACCATTGAAAAACTGGAAACTGTATTGAATCTGAAGTGTACAGCCTCACAATCACGCGCACATGGGGGATTTTATAAAACGAAATAAACGTATATTTTGATTAGGCTATGAACAGTTTTGTTTTTTTTCTTTCTAATTTATTATTATTTCAGTTAACAATAAAATCAACAGAAATTTGGTATTTACACCACATTGTTTTTTAAAGACTAATTTTTACGCTTCATGTTTGGTGTGACGTAATTCGCTAGTCTTTATTTAAATGGTTATAGAAGAAGACATCTAAACTGAGAATGAATTCAGGAAATGATGTGAATTAAATTAATAAATATATTGATCATTTCTCAAGTTCTCAATACTGACAAAAATACAAAACTACATAAAAAATTATTATAAAATAATTATCATATGAGTTGTACATGTGATTTACATAAACATAAAACGCATGAGTATAAACTGTAAAAGTTTTACAAAGAATTATTTTTGTAGTGTATACTAATATTAATAATATATTGACTGATATGTGCGATAAAAGTTGAAGAATATGAAGTCTTACTACAACAATTGAGAGAAATTTAAAAACTTTATATTCGAAAATGATGGTAGTGTGATATGGCTGAATTATTTCTTTACACACGAATGAGATCAAATGTGAGAATATAAAAAAGTATTTGTAAAGATTTGTATTATCTATATGTTAATGCTGAACATTTCAACTGATCAGTCTTCTAACGGTATATGTGCATCTTCAGTAGATTTGGTGAAGATGGGTTATGATTAGCAGTGGAGACGAGTATGTACGTCAACTGGGTGAACACGTGCATTCAAGTATTGATATTCACCATAAAAGTATATATTTGCAATTTATGGTATACTGTTGGATTGTAGTGAATTTTTAACCACAGTAAAATACAAATCTCTACGAATATTATGTTGCCTATTTAACATGTTCATAGTCCTTTGAACCTAGGAGTTCAAGGGATAATATAACAGGGTTTCATGAGTATGATGCGAAGTTTTAGTTTCATTATGAGTAACAACACTGGGATGCAACTATATCCAGAATACAAGATGCACAATTAAGTTAAACTTATTCAAATAATTGTTTTATTTACAAGAAGTTTTAAATCTATAATTTACAGTAAACCGACGATATTAATAGAATATAAATGAGTTTCAAGTTTCACCCTCATAACCTGAGAGTGACAACTGGATGGAATGACATTTTAGTACAATCTTGATTCCTTACACAACTTACATTGAAAAGACATTTCAATTGTATCTCATCAAGTGAAATTGATGTAGATTTTTCCATTTCAGCCGTTGTAATTCTTGATGGTTTATTAATATCAACTTCAATTTTAGGAGTACTCGGTTGTAACTGATGCTGATTATGATGCTGATGATGATCAGCATGATTAGAATTATAATGATTATTACAATCATTATTGACTAGTTTTAAACTTTCTTGAAGTAACTGAGCATATTCGCGATGAATACGTTTTAAACGACATTTGAAACAATTATGGTCTAATAATGTAAATGATGTAATTTGATTTTGGCGTTCAACTAATTGATGCAATTGTACTTCAGGTGAAGATGATGAATGTAGGAGAAGAACATCACGAGAACTTTTTATATCTTACATGTTGTACATGTACAAAAATTCAGAAAACAACATCAAAAAGATTAGTTAATTTAAATGAGGATAAAATAACATGAGAATTTAAAAGTAAGTTGTTCCAATAGATTGATTAATAATGTTGCCACCAATAAAAAAGCATATTAAACAGTAATGAGAATTGTTAAAGATTGTAATCATAATAAATACAGGTTTATGTATGGGAGGTAGTGAGACTATATGATGAGAGTATACCAATGGCTAAGGAGATTAGTGAGGCGACATTTCCTAATCTTTCAAATGTCTTGTGCAAAGTCAGTACCCATAGAGATGCTAATTGTTTGAGCGAAATAACTTAATCCTGTCACACTCCTGAACAGACAGTAGTATTATTTCATTCTTGAACCTTACTTACTGATCTTAGTCCTACCGTCCTACAACTGGCTTGTCTAGCATGGCAAGACCTAAAGGAAAAGTTGTTCTAATCAGTATAACTTGACTTGGGTCACCAATAATATTCCATCCTAATCACATTACACAGCTGTCTTAGTTGAAGCAGGTGAGGAGAACTTAAATTCAATTCTAAAAGTGAATATTCCACAATCGAGGTCAGAATACAGCGAAATAATCGATCATTCAAAAAAAGATAATTTCATTCATTAACCACACAATGTGATTGAATAATAATCTACCACATTCTATTATTAACAATAAAGCATAACAAGACCAAGTTACTTTGTATAATCCATCACAACATATATATAAACTGTCAGAGTAAGCTCTGCAAACACAGCATCCAGGTCGACACAAGTCTGTTTTTTTTTATAATTCATTAAACTGACGAATAATCATTAATAAGATCAATCAATCAGCGGATGCTAGATTAATGATGTTTGCTTGTCAAGGCTTCAATATTCCAAGTTCGACTTCTGGTGGATTAGCGTAAGATGTGCACTGACAAAAAGTTTCATACTTCGACAAAATAGCTCCTCAGTTTTTTAATTAAAGTTAGTCTAAGGTGAATACAAATTTAACTATTTATCACAAAACAATCCATTTCACATCTGAGAACATGAATTTGATTAATGTAAACCAACTTACCATCATCGTATATCATTGAACCGTATTGTGTTGTTGCACTTTCACTACCATGGACACTAGTAGCATGTGTTAAATCACATAAATTACTTGAAGACAATGATCGACTATGATTATGCATTGATATTAAAGGTGTATCTATTTGTGATGAAGATGTATTATTATTATTATTATTATTATTACTATTGGAAAATGTAGTTTTTGTTGAATGAAAACTTGATGCCATCATTAAAGCAGAATCAGTGAATAACTTCTCTTCAGTAAATATTGATGAAATAATAATATTATCTTCATTGATTTCATCATTGTTAGTTGTAAACGGTAATGACGATGATACGGATTGTTGTTCACTAATATCAACAATAGCAGTAGGATTAGTTATAGGAAGTGTTTGAGGATGATAATCATCGGCACTCTTATTGTTCACATGTAGAGTTGAATCCTATTAATTGTGTACAAAAAACAGATGATAAAATATAGTAGATCAATATACCCTAATAAAATATGAGATTTTTGCTAAACGAAAACCAGTATAAAAACGTTAAAAACTTGGTTCGCAGTTTTACTGTCCACAATACAGTACACGTGATGTAGAGTTCACTTAGACTGATAGCCAGAATGTAAATTGATTATTAAAATTTGATCAGCACTAGCAAGGACTTTGCATTCATGAAATTGATCACCAGTCAGTGATCAACCAGATGCAAAGTGACAAACAGCGTACAATCCAAATCGTAAGCCTAAAGTAAAAAAGCTAGATCTACCAATATGGCCAAAACAGGAAGTTATTAACTTGATAAACTGATTTCATATCTTAATTCCATCATCTCTAGGTGCTATTAATACTTATTTCTATCACCCGAAATTCTAGGTCTGCCTAAATCTATTTAAACACATAAACATTGGTATACATGCTCTAAACAAATTATTAATCTTGTGTGCGGACTGGGGTACTGCCGGACGTGCAAACTGAACCAGATGGTTTTCTTAGGAGGCCACTCCGTGAGTCGTTGATCGATAGGTCTAATCCATAAAGCAGTGGGGTAACGTAAGCAGGTGTAGTTCCATGGTAGCCGGTTCCAAATAATAAGTTCAAACGTTATTGGTTCCTTTATGATCCTGGAGCCCATTTATACCACTGCTTTGGAATCAGGGTTTTCTAACTACTACAGATAAATCCTTCGTACCCGCCAGTAAGCTTGAAGTGCTGGACATGTGGTTTTCAGTCAGTCTATGTGATATGGTGGCATTAGTGGTACATAACCTAACCAATTTAGCTGATGAATTTTAGGTATAAATAAACAACTTACACTTCTTACCCAATAAATGGAGCCTAAACACTGCATTACTCATTAACCAATTCCAACATATATTACTAATGTTCTGGAAGGCACTGGAAATCAGATACTTACATCCCATCTAATCTGTATTTCTATTGTTCAAAGAAAACTAGGCGATTTTCAGAGACCTGAGAATAAATTCTATAGGAATCTATCTAGCTTACGAATCAAATAGAAATATCATAAACAGTTCATAAGATCAAGAAGCCTGTCAAAGAAGAATACAATTAAAATAAATGTACAAACAATACCAGGATAATTGTTAATAACAACTAATTAAACTCAAGGTCAAATGAACAAGCTGTTAATCATATGTGGAAAAGTTTGAACAGCTTAGTTATGTGATCGAATATCGTCGACCAGAAACTATGATTAACGAAGGTTTTATGCAAGATGTACTTGTAATCCTAAGAAAAATGATACTTTCTGTAGAATTTGAAACCTATCATGATCTGAAACGTTATGACTAAATCATTTTGATTATGACTAATTTTCCAGTAGGACTGTGTTATTTACAACTGATCGATTATTGGGTTGGTTGATCAATTAACTTATGATTCATTAACAAAATGAGTAAAGATAACAATCTTACTGCTAAAAGATATCAATTTATCTGTGCCTATTGCATTGTTTATATTTTTTAGTTCTGATGAGTAAGCAAACCAACGATAATCTACATTTCAGTGACTAAAGCAATTTCTGCTACGCTCCAATTGGTTACTGTTTCTTTTGAACTTTTATATTGTCACATTATTGTTACTGCCTAAACGCTAAATTTTTGATATCTAAGATCCTAGTAGTTTCTAATCAATCGGAAAGGAATGCGGTAAGATGCTACTTAATACTTCACACATAAAGATGACAAGGACATTTCTCAGAAAAAAAAAGAAAAATATACCAATGGACATACTTTTCTATGTGTTTTACTCTTTTGTAAACATAATTCTTCTGTGCTCATAGGTTCAACAGCAGAATAAGGTGTATAATGAGATTCTAAATATTCTAATTGTCCTTCAGTTTGTGTAGCAGTAGTAACTAAATGTTCAAAACGTGGTAATGTATTCAAAGAAACTGATATACGATCACCTGACCCTACCGTAGGTGGAAAACGACACAATTCCCAACTACACAAACTTCCTGGAAGTTCTTCCCAACCTGTATGAATATTATTAGCTGTGTGAATTGCAGTACGACGTACTGAACTGGAAAATAACAGTAAGATATAAGAAAATATTCAGTTAGAAGGTGAATAGACGAAAACGGAAATCACAGTAATATAGAAGTTAAATAAAAATCCAATCACATGTTAATTTGAAAAAAATTAAAAATTTGTCACCATTTTACTATTCCTATGTATAGCTGGGTGAAAATTGAAATGTTTTAAATGATCACGAACAAATGAATAGTAGTTAAAAATTATGCTGATCGATAATATTTCCGATGTGTATATTTAAATGGTGGAGTTTAAGGCTTAATAATGATAGTGGTGACAATATTGTCATTTGCGTATAAATTCAAATTAACCGATACAGCTTTAAACACTTATCCAACGAGAAGAAACAAATAAAATTAGTTGAGAATATGAATGAACATTATAAAGCAACCAACAATAGATAGGTTCACACGACTTGGTTGGGATTCAAGGGAATATCGTAGTTAACGGTCAGAGAGGTTGGATGAACTGGCTCAGAGTGGATCACAATGGAGAGCAGATGCATTCACTTTATCCTACTCTAGATCAGTATTCCTTCAGGTATATCTTTTCTTTCAGTCTTTGCAAACAATATTCTCACCGTTTAGTATTACTGATTATCACTGCTACTATGGTATTTCGATTTCTTCGTCATAACATTGATAATCCCAGTTTGTTATACTAATATTGTATGGGAACATGGGACAATACAATCATGCGCCAGGCTTCACATTGATTTCAAGTGATTGAACCAAATAATGAGTTTGTTTATTTGGTCTATTGAACTAGTTTTGTTACCAAAACGATTCACACCAGACAACAAACAATCAATTATATTACCTCATTTAAACTTTCTGATTATGATTTTTGTCAATAAATAAATGAGTATTATGTATTTTAGTTTAAGTTTATAAAATTCAGACGAAAATGGAAGAAAAAAATGCTTACTCATCAACTGATAATGCCAGACTGGAACTCAAGCTTCGACCAGATCCAGCATTTATAATCGGTCCGATTAAACCAAATTCTGCTTGACAACCAACATCAATAAAATCCCTTGTCAATATGTTCTCTAAACTACTAAATGGAGAGGTTGCAATTGATGTTGTTGAAGGTGCATCAATCTGTGTTCCAGTTATCATGGTGGACTTACAAGTAGTGACTGTTGATGTCGTGATGGTTGGTTTTAAATCTGACGATAAACCACTGACAAGACCAGCACCGTCAGCGGTAGCACATGTCTGATCTAAAGAAACACTGCCACCACAACTGATCAAAGATGAATTAGGTAGAAAAGAAGTGTTTCTAAACAGTAAAGATGATTTATTCAATTCTGTTCGTAACAGATTGCATATATTAGCAGGCATGGATTGCATCAATCTCTCTATATCGTCGCGAGTAATTTTAATTGGTTGTGTTGTTGTTGTTGTTGTTGACAGATTAACATTATGAGTTAGATAGAAATTATTTGATAATACTCCTAACAAGGATAATGAATCAATTGATTCATTAGATATACCTGATATTTTGCCTCGATCGGATTCATCAAATGGCATTGATGCACGACGATTAGCATTAATCTTTGGTCTGGTATGGTGTGAACGTAACAGAACCACTTGTTGTTGAGTAAGACAACTATTATCTGAGCTTTTTTTACCTTGATCAGATTCAATTATTTCATCTTCTTTAACTTTGGTTAGCTGCGGATCAGGTGAACTAAATGAATTTAATCGAGTTGAACGAACACGAGAATACTGTACACGATTCAATGCACAAGCTTTAGCTAATTCGTTTAAACGTGGTTCAGATAAAGAAGATAGGGCATATCGTCGGTTAACCGTTAATTCTGGTGCGACAATGTTAGGACCATGTGAAGATGAGCCAAGTTTTTGATTAAATGTTGTGGTAGTAGTAGCAGTGGTAGTGGTAGAAGATTCGCACGATTGTGGTTCAACATCCTGTGACATAGAGATTGTTCCTGGTATGTTAGCAAGCTACGTATATGCAAATAATAAGAACAATAATGGAAAGCATTATAGATAACATGGAGAATTTACGAGATAAACGTTGAGGTAGACAGGAATTGATTACGTAAGTTTATAATAAACAAAACACATTCGTTAGACGGTATTCGTCACGAGGTGATCTCAGCTGAAGTACCACTGAAATTCGGAGAGCGCTTGATAGTATGGGATTCCATAGCCATGTGTATTACACCACCCTATCACGAATCGAATCCATAATCCATAAGTCTGACAAAAAAGACGGTTAATGATCACAGTAAAGATGTACAATTCCAACCTTAATTTATGAGATATGGAGTGACAACCATCTAACGTTGCTAATGTCTATTATTTCAAACAAACATTTCTGAATTCTAGAGATCACAGCCTTCCACCAGTACTTCAGAAATTTACTAGCAACTCAAGTGAGAACAATCTGTGATGAATACCTACATTTCAAAATAATTTGTAGAGCCATTTCATTTAAATGATACTGTCCTAAATTATTAACCTATTATGACTTTAGATAATCGAATAGCTGTTGCGTAAACATTGACTACCATAAGTTAACAAAAAAATATTTGAGTAAATAAAAGGACGGATAATATCTTCACCATCAAATCTAGGGACAATGAAACAATAACGAATAAATTTCATGAACATACATTCTAAATAGTAAGAAATATATCTTCCCTGTAATCCAACACAATACATATTCTGGAGTTCCACTCCTACTGCCACCTCTGATCATTCTTAAGTCAATCATCAACATAAAACAACAGAACCGTGTGCATTTTAAAAATGGATTGGTTAACAACTTATTTGCTAAAATTCCATGGTTAACTAGCAATACCACTGATCAAGTCACGAATTTGAATTATGAGCTATGATATATACCTTCGTCTAGGCAAGCAAATAAGATCAACAGTTTTTCGATACTCAGACACATAAATATTTAAACAAAAAAGTTTGATTTAAACCTACAACACAAATCTATTATTAGTAGCAACGGAATTACATAATACATGAAAACTGCAACACACTTATATTTGGAGAATGGATTAAAGTGCTCATTTACCCCGAGACATTCCGCTTTTGGATTAGTCCATGGTGCGAAAAGTGAATGTAGAACGTTATTTTCTAGAAATAGAAAAGATGTTATATTGTAAAAATAAATACGATTCATTATTGAGCGTTTTAACATATTGAAAAACCAATCAATCATAAACTCGACGGGCAACGAAAGCTGGAGTAGAAACAATTTGGTAGAAAGCGAAGTGCGACCAAGCTGAGATAAGGCGTCACAATGCATGAAGACACAGCTAATACTGTTACTACATTTACTACTCAGGGATTCGACCTAACAATTTCAGCTCTCTGCTCGAACGGAGAATGAAAACGTGGACTGATGTAAACATAAGCAAGGTTTTATATTATAATATGACTGAAGTTAACAGCTTCGTCCACCGGCTGCCAAATCTTGGTTTAGCAATACATAGCTTTCTTCCGGTTAACTCTAGAAATCCAAGTATCATCATCATCAACAGTAAAGTAGAACTTTGCACGTAATTACATCAGTTCAAGTTGCCATATTACGTTAGCACAGATATAATTGTCAATTCAAATCCCATAGTAGCAGAGGTAGTAAAAGTATTAGAAGTAATCGGGGAGATTAGGGTTCGAAGATATTATTCAAGAAGTATAATTCAGTGAGGAAAATTTAGAAACAGAAAGATAGTAGTGATGATTTATTCATAAGGTTAGAATTCCATGGAACACAAAGAGTAAATGCACCTACGCCATTGCACACGGTTTTGAGACATGTCGTTCAGGGTCTTTCATCATTGATTACCAACATCTCGCGGACCCCAACCAGGTAGTCGACACCTACCGACATGACTCAGTTCACTTGTCACTGACTTCATGGATTTCTACCATGTTTTGGTTTGGACAAATTCAAATACATACGTGACATGTGCCCTAAATTTTACAGATTACTGTTGAATGAATATATGACTGCTCGATGAGTAGTAGTGTGTGAAATGTTAGAGGTTTTCTATGAAATGATAGGCTAGCTTAATAGTTCAGGGATATACCTTGATCAAGTTAGCAAAATGCTATCATCAGTTCTAAGACAAAATAAATGTGGTTCAAAGAATAGCATTCGAATCTGTTGCCGAGTTACACAGTTACTATGAGCTCTGGGAAATTTAACTGTGATTATTTGAATACAAGTAGATCTATGTAAAATTTTGTTACCTTCACAAATGAAATACTTTGACAATTTACTAACTAATTGATTTTGTCTATTGATAAGATTATGATTTTTACAAGTGAAACAGACTAAACTGTACAACATAGATGATAGTTAATTTTAGATCATTTGAATGGATAAACTTTCGAATTTTTATTGTCTACAAGAATTTCAGAAAATAATAATTAAATTTCTTGAAGAATCCCGTTCAATAAAAGAGAGGGCGCCAGAATAACCGACAAGTGTTTGATGTATTCAATTTATTCAAATAATGTAATAATGCATTTTAGAGAGAGTAAAAGATGCAAAAGTTCAGTAAACCAGAGACCGATTGTGTCATTACGATATGCAAGGTTTGACCTCTACTTCAAGGTAACAGAATATACGGTCAAGGAGTGTATATAATATCTAGAATTATTCCATTCGATATATATAGTGATAAGTGTTATCAATGTGATGTTAATAAATTTAGAGTTGAATGAGTTCACAGATCAATAGGTGGTTCACAGTAATACAATATAGTATGTGAAATACACTGAAATTTCAGAAACATACTTAAATGTTTGGAAAATACACGTCGTCGACGACATTCATCAGTCCTCAAATTAGTCTCCTCTTTAAGATAGCATACAGATCGTTGAGTAAGCATATCATCGAATTCGGTACGTCTAACAGTTTCAGCTAAACAGCTATCGATAAAAAAAGGAAACCGTAAGTAAAATTAACAAAGAAAGAAAATATATGTTAAATATGTGCATTTTAAAAATCAAATTACTTCATTAGTTATCGGAGTTGTACGGGGAAATTTCTTAAACTTTGCTGTTGTGTATCTCTTTTCAAACTAAGAAAGACTAGATTAGCATGTAAGATAAGGTCTATAGACTGATTAGATGTCTTATCTGATAAAAAATGTAACTGAAACGATACATTCCTATGGTAACTAGAGGTTACAGCGGGTTTGCATATGTCCCTAAATTCAAATGTAGGAGCCTAAATCGACGTTTTTGTTTGCTATATCGGCAGACAACTGCCCAAAATTGATCTCAGGTGATAGCAATAAATTCGACATACTGAGAAGCAATCCCACTAGCCTAGGAAGTACGATTTTACGAAATCGGTTTTGAGTCACCCTGTTTAGGTGAGGGTTAAATGATACCAACAGGCTGTCAAAACCTAAAGTAAGTAAAAAGAAACTCGAACTTATGAACTGCTAAGTGAAAGTCAAGTATTTTAAACACCGACGCAACATTCCTATATAAGAAAAGGTATAAACACGTAACCAAATGAGAGAACTCTGAGAAAAAAACGGCACAACTTATTCACTTAGATATTGAAGAGTAAAACGGCACGTATCAAGTACGTATACACGATTGTAAACTGTCAACCAACCATCAGTAAAGTCAAGTTTGAACAGGTTATTCACAGTATGTACGACTTCACAGACTGAATAATAACTTACTCCTAAATACAAATGATATAATTTAACTACAATTTCCAAAGACATTTTAAAACAAAACAACGTTAAAAAAAACGTTAACTGTCGCACTGCAAATCAATAATCTATACATCAGCAATTGAGATTTCGTAAATATTATGAACAACTAAGAACTCCCCATGTGATAGAAATAGGCACTTCAGTGCTTTTTTCAAAACTAGTACTACTGTAGTGAACGAGAACACAGGTGGGGCAACCGAATTGTATTGAACGAAAATTACTCAATAAAATTGGAAAACCATATCGTAAATCGTTCATTTGCAAAATATCAGTTCATCATATCGAACTGGACTGTTCCTGTTGCAAAACATCAATCCATTGTCACTAGTCATGCGTTTCATACAAATCCCATTGTTTGCTAACTCTTTCTTTCTTGATCTTCCCCATCTTCTGCTGCCAGACATTACGTTGACACCCACGTCATATACTACTCATAAGTAGCTCACACCACACTACCATTTACGTATACCTAAAGTTTATCGTATTCGAAATTGTGAAGTATACCATGGATTGACACAAACTGAAAAAGCCAATGTAAATCTAGGACAATACCGGACTTTGTTGTAGTAAGTCAATCGGATCAAGTGTAGAGTGTTTATGTTTACCAGCCACATTAGATAGCGATCATAGCAGATGCAAAGTTGACTGAAATTGGAAAGTGTCAATTAATCAGTGACTAAATGATATCATGCTAATGAAAAGGCGATATAGATCACGGATTCAATCACAAATAGGAAAGATCGAGGTACGCGTAATACCAGAGCCCTAAAGATAGGTAGGATTAAGTGTCGAGTATTTTCATATATTTCCAACTGTTTATTATAAAGGAATTTTTAAGTACACGGAAAACCTTATCTTCAATATGAAATCTTACCAAGACTTACCGAGCATAGGTGGGACCAGCTTCACTTAATTGAGATATTAATGTCCCAGTTGTAGTGACACGACACATACGACGAAGACAACGTTGAATAATTGCATCGAGACGATTTAATTCTGATTGGAAATTTTGAAGCCAACTACGATAACAGAAAAGGTAAATAACACCATAAATAAATTATCATTATTAAATTTGACTAATTATTGTGCAGAAAAACTAAGAAAAACATTGATCATAAAATAGTTGTGAATCTGGTGAACATCAGCAAATACACATCATTGGTCAAGAAACGGCATCCTTAGAGAAGGAGATGGAATGTATATGTACATATACATCAGTAAGGCAGTTACAACGTAGAACTTCGTTTATACATACATCAGTCCAAGTTGCCATAGCCCATCAACACAGGAATGTAATAACATACCCACTGAACATAAATACTCTTGCAGGAATTATTTATTTTAAACTTTATTCGAAAGGAATTTAACCCACTTGATCCTACACCGTTTCATACTATCCTAGCATGGAAATCGTAACCAAGAAATGGTTCACAATTCTTTACAATCGAAAGAGGGTACATTCATTCTCATTTTCACTTTGTTTCGTCGAAATTTTTATCTTCTGATCCGAAAATCCGTTTCATAATCCCAACCTCTCATTATATTTTTCGTTTGGTCTTGTTTAGCATAGGGTAAAATTGGATCCAATGTTTTTATGGCCGTCCGTTGAATGCGCAGTGTTATATTCCGTGATTAAATAATTCCAGTAAAAACGATTATTATCAACTTCCGAATGCAAGCTCGTAATTAAGAATAACTCAAAAGTAGAAAGTAAACTCATTTAAATTTATTTTTATCAAAAACTGTATTACTTCTTGGAGAATGAAAAAATATCAGCGGTTTGGCGTTTTGTAATTATGTCTAGGAGAAAACTTTCTACAATTTGTAGGCAATAAATCTAAGAATACCCACATAAAAAATGTTAATGCTGATCTCCTGAAATCTCGCTCTAAACTACCATATCTACGATATCTAGATCCGAAGTCTCTTGTTAACTAATTCCAATCACATTAGTTATTTTGCTAGTATTTCAAAACTGTCTCCAATGTATATCTGACTAAAACTGTTCAACAAAGTGTAGATAAATCTGTCATTTGCAAAGTACAACTTCGTACGTACATACATCACTTTAGGTTGCCATACCACATTAGCGCAGAGAGATACAATTGTCAATTCAAATCCCATATTGGTAGAGGTAGCAGAATCATTAGCGGTAATCGAAAAGATTAGGAAACGAAGAAATTATTCCAGAAGTGTAGTCTAGTGATATAAGTTTGAGAAAAGAAAGGTAAAGGTAATGACGAATTCAGAAGATAAGAGAGTTATTAGGAGGTGCAGAAAGGATTTGATTGTGAGCGATTTGGTCTCGCGTGCTTATACGGGTAAGCGGGCAGATGTTACTTCCTGGCTGCCCACACCGTGGATTACAATGTTAGTTGTTGATCCTATTCATCATATTTACCACTTCAGTATCCCACTTATTACCATTTACTTAAAATTATTTGATTACTGCGAATGTTTTGCTGGGTTCAGGCTTATCACTCCAAACAACCAAATTCAGTATAAATTATCCCCAAATACCCAGATAAGGTTTAAAATGAGGTCTGTTGCTCATCCCGAAACGATGTTATATGAACACTGCCTTCCTAATCAGTAAAATGACCTAATATCTCAACATAGTTCACACAATGTCTAGTTAGATGGGACTAGTTAGCCAAATAGCAAATAAAAAGAGAACTAGATAAATATGACGCTTTAGTTACAACACTATACTTCAGTAACAAACTAGTTGGGAATATTTCATTGTTATGGGTTTTCAATACAAATGTCAAGACAGTTCTACTGTATGGAGCGGAAACTTGGAGAACTACCAAAGCCATTATCCAGAAGATAAGTGTTAATCAACAGTTGTCTATGCAAAATACTTCGGATTCGTTGGCAAGACACTATAAGCAACAACGTACTGTGGGAGAGGACGAACCAGATTCCAGTGGAGGAGGAAATCAGGAAGAAGCAGTGGAAGTGGATAGGACACACTGCATAAAGCACCCAACTGCGTCACAAGACAAGCCCTCACAGAAAACTCTCAAGGTCAAAGGAAAAGAGGAAGACCAAGGAACACACTACGCCGAGAAATAGAGAAAGATATGAGAGGAATGAACAAACATTGGACAGAACTGGAGAGGGAAGCCCAGGACAGAGTTGGTTGAAGAAAACTGGTGGGCGGCCTATGCTCCATTGGGGGTAAGTAAGCAAGCAAATAATGGGTTTTATCACATAAACACACAAACACGCGCACGTGTTATACAGTATATGGTTAATAAGAAAAACACAAACAATACTAAACTCACCGTTGACGATCAGACAAATTATTAGCTAGTAGAAGTTTACTCTCCATAACAATACCGAGGATTTCACAAAGACGATTGAATACAACAATTAACTCTTGTGAATTTTTTGTATTCTCCATAAATTTCATCTGTAACAATGAATTCTGAAAAAAAGGAACGGAATAAAATGCAGACCTATCGAAATCAAATGTAAAACAATTATAAGGACTCAGAAAAAAGCAGAAAGAAAAAACAACATAGATGAGAGATTCGTATGAGAACCAAGACTCTGAGTACGAAAATACATCAAAATACCCAACCACTTCACTCTCTTGGTTTCATTTGAACTCAGTGAAACGCACATCGATCCAGAAGCAATGTCAAGTGTATAATATCACTAGCCAACCATCCTCTTTAAAAACATTGACGAAAAAAGGGTCCCAGGGTGTAGTAACTTGCAGAACGGAGTAAAAGGCGTAAACTAATAAGCCACAGATTAAAAGATCATTAGTAGAATATGAAGAAAAACGCATTACTATTATCACTACTAATTTGAAAACGGTTCATCATCATCAACAGCAACGTAGAACTTCGTAAGTACATACATCAGTTCAAGTTGCCAAACCATATTAGCAAAGAGATTGAACTGTTAATTCGAATCCCATAGTAGTAGAGGTAGTAAAAGTATTAGCAGTAATCGGAAATTTAAGAGTTCGACGATATTATTCAAGAAGTAGAATCCAGTGAGATAAAGTGACGAGTAGCTCAAATGGTTAGGATTTGAGAAAAACACAAAGAATGAATTCACCTGCGCCATTGCAAACAGTTTTGAGCCATGTCGTTCAAGGTCTCTAACCATCGGTGACTTTCGCCTCGAGGACGATAACTAGTTAGTCTACATTTACAAACATGACTCAATCCAGTTGTCAGTGACTTCATGGATTTGTGCCATGTTTTGGTTTGGTCGCCCTTAGCTTTCGTCCAACCAACTCCTACACCACAAAACATAGCTCATGGAGGCAGTCGGTTGTTGTTAGTTCGTAACACATGTCCCAACCACCTCAAGTGATGAAGTTTCATTCCTTCATCTACTGACCTGCCATCCTTATCTAGGACTTGTTTCCTACCCAAAGCGTTGCATACTCGGTTGTCCCATGATAGACGAGCAATGCTTCGGAGACACGGATGATCGAAATCAAGCAACTCTGACTGGCCGTGTTTCACAGCCATAAAGTAAGACCGAACGAACTACTGAGCAGTACACTAGGTCAGGTGCCGATGCAACCCGATCCTTAAGCAAAACATTGCATTTCGACGGCGAGAATCACAACTCGAACACGCTTGCATTGTTGCTTAGTGTATTAGGAAGACTTTACATTTTAACAGCGTCTTCACAAAATAGAACTGTCATCAGGATACTCTAAGCCAAAAAGCGAAACTCCTCGTAAAAGGTACACTCTTGAAAAGTCTGACGAAGATAATGTAAAATCTAAAGCACCTCTATGACAGAGTTAAACAAGGATGGAGAGAGTGGACATCCCTGACGGACACCACTTGAAGACATCAATTCCGATGACAGTTCGCCATAAGCTTAATCCAGCGATGATCAAGTAGAGAGCTTGTAAAAAGTGAATGTACTTCTCTGCTACAGCTTTTAACGACAGACACTGCCACAAAATCTCACGATTCACAGAGTAAAATGGCGATTTAGTGTCGATAAATACTACGATTATGGAACGTCTGAACAAGTTTCAGGTCCTAGTACGTGATCCAGATCGAAAACCAGCCTAGTTTTCTCGAGTCTGCTGTTCACAAGCGCTGGTTAGGCGTCCGAGTATTATTGAGGCCGATATTTTCGATACTATATAAGATTGATTCCCCTGTGATTGTCACAAGAGGACTTCTGTCCTTCCTCATAGACTGGGACAATCAAGGATTGGGACTAGTCGGATAGTATTACGTCCAGTTCCCGGATTCTACCTAAGATCTCAGTCAATCTAACTGTCAAAGCTGGACCACCATCCATAAAAATCTCAGTAGTCAATCTATCAGGACCTGCAGATCGCCCTCGCTTCAGATTTCCTATCGCTTTCTCAACTTCATTAAGATTCGGAGGACTAACGTCGATTTGCCATTCAGGATGACTGGAGATCGTGGGCAACCGAAGTGTGGATGAAGGCCAGATGAACTGGTCCCTGAAGTGTTCTGCCCATCGATCCAATCCCCTGGGTTGAGAATGAATAATAAGACCATCATTTTCTGAGATAGTCCCACTTACAGTCGAATTCCTTATACCAGTTTCTTCGATGAGTCGGAAGAACTGCCTGCTGTTGCCCATCGCCGCTGCCTTTTCCATCGCTTTTGCTTTTGCCACCCACAACTGTTCTCGATCATTGCGAAAGCGTTTTATCAGCCTGCGCTTAAGCTGACTTCGTTCTTCATCATGTTCAGAGCCAGGTGGGATGGGTTTTCTGAGCATCCATCAGTTCGGGAGATGCTACTACTGAGATCCAAAGCTTCATCCTAGCCTTATGGTTTACTTTACTAGCAGATATCACGGCTGTTTCTACACCACGAAAGGGTATTTCTCGGGGTACTTGAAAAGGAAGGTAGATTAGTGTTGGTCTCGGAGACCTGGGAGCATGACCGCAGAGCCCAAGTAACAACTGCTTGAGGCCAGTCACACGCACGGTCTTTTTATGAGAAGTTTTTGAGGTGAAAGATCTGCTCTTCAAGTGGCTTTATTGACCGAGACGGAAATCCTTGAGGTAAGGTGAAGTGTTGCATTTTTAGGGTCGGCCTTTTCTGAATCCTTCCTTCCTTGTGAGAAAGCAGCATCGCAGCAGATGCTGGCTGTCCGAGAGAAGCACCTTATTGCTGTCACACCTCTACAGTCAGCAGTACGACTTGACTCTCGAACCTTGAGTTGCTGTTTTCAGTCTCACCGTTCTCCAATCAACCTGTCTTGTATAGTAGAGCCTTCAGGAACATATGTTGCAACCAATATAGCTCGGTTGGGTCATCACGATAGGCAAGTCCGACCATCACGTCAAGGTAACAGCTGAGGTTGGGTGTAGAATACATTCTTTACTATATATCAAGACTTCTCGCTTTTGTTGGCGGGGCCTGAGACAATCGGATTAGAATATCGTATCGTTTCACTGCATCATTGATCTGCGCCCCATTTACTGAGTAACGTAAACTGGTAATAGTTTTAAGTATATCAATTGGGCGAATTTATCACCGAATGAAAACTAAGTATTCAAAGAGTACGTAAATTATTGTTCTTCTCATGATTATTCTACGAAGATGACAGTTGTAAAAAAATCGAATTAATACGAGTTATAATCTCATTATAGATAAAGAAGATCAAAAGACTGGATTGAATTTAATATTATCAGCACTTTAGGCCAACAACTATCCAAGAGAGTTTTTAAAGTTTGTAAAAAACTAAAGAATAACTAAATAACAGGAGAGAATGAAAGAAAACTACTGTCATCCCATATCATAAAGGAACATCGGAATAAATTAAGAGGATTCTAAGGGAAGCATATTACAAGAGTTTATTTTCGTACCAGCGATACCATAAGATGGACGACAGTGAAAGCCCAAGATAAGCTTTCAAAGGAAGAACAACAGAAGGTTATCTATGCGATAAGTTGTCAGGACTACAATGCAGTTTATGTGGGAGAAATGTCTAAACAGTTGAATTTGAAAATGGATGGACACAAACTGTTTAAAACATGTTCCCCATACTTTGGCTGATTTTATGAAACCGAAGAGTAAATCGGCAATAGCGTTACATGCGTGAGAAACAGGACACAAAATTAACTTTGACGGGACCAAAATACTTCATAAAGGGTTTATAGCGCGCTACATCCACCTTGTTTAATTCACATGTAACATTGATCGAACAGTAATCAATTGTAATTTTTTAAATATGACAACTATGTGACTGGTAATTCTCCATTTACTTACACATTCGACTTTTTAAAAATTATTTACAATCGTACATTTATGTTTACAATCCGTAAATAAACGACTGACATGCATTCAACGAATGTCGACTATTAGTAACGTAAATTTACACATACATGTGCACACATTTTTATTTTTTACAATGTGAATTCTTCACCTTTCATATCGCGCTTGACTCATGTTATCCTATTTACTCAAGTTACGATAGGAATATGATTGGATAAGCATTCAGTGTAAACTTGGTTTGATTGTTAAACATTATATATTCTTGAGTAATTTTGATTCTGTTCATTACCCCCCTGAAGAAGTTCAAACAAGATAGCTGAACGAAAGCTTGAAGTTCTCCAAAATTTCATTCGCTCAGGTTATTTCAAACATAATTTTCACAAAAAATCTGATCTAAATAATAATTTGATCATTTTATACAACTGTATGAACATACAACATAAAAGAAAACTACTTACAATCTTTTGTTGAATTATCTGTTGAAAAGCTTTTGTAGAATTCTGTTCAATTTCAATCATTTTTCTGGATAAATCTACAGCTTCACACAATAATTGGTCAAGATGTGAAAGACGTTGACTAAAATAACCCGGATCCAATGCATCACGTATACTGGTCAAGTGTACATCATCTATACCAACATGTGGTAATTGTAATGGGAATAAAGTTGATGCACAGGTTGATACTGCTGGTGCGGATGGTAGGATTTGTCTTTTATCCGATGTTACATAGGTATCATTTAATGTAACATCATTATTCATTGAATCGATAGAAACATCTTTTGAATTAGATATCGTAGTGTTCATTCTAATCACAGGCATTGTCGTAGTAGATGATGTCATTGAAGAATGAGGTAAAGTAGAAGTAGTCATTTCATCATAATTAGATTTGGAACAAGTAGTAACCATTGTGATGAGTTCAGATAAACGATTTGTTTGTCTAAATTCAACAGTTTACAAATAAATGATTATAAGAACTAAAATAACTTGTCATTAAACATAAACTCTTTACTATGTGCAAATTTACTTAATGCCAGTTTTGAGTCAGACTATTTTGCATGTACGGGGGAGGGCTAATGATGCCAACCATCAGGCTAAAACGAATTAGATTAACTACTACTATTTCAGAATCGAACAACTCGTCTAATAAGCCAAACACAAAAATTACATCACACTTTGATGGTTATCCTACTAGTAAATAAGTTGAACTATGAATATATAAATGAAAGTAGTAAACTAAGAATATTCGGTCGAGGATTGAATTTTGACAAGGAAATTATTTAATACCAGCTCAATGGACCAGAGTTTACACACTCATCGTGAAAACAAAGGTCATGTTTCTGATCTCCTGGAGTGAAATCGTGGATGAATATTGCAGATTAGTTATATACCAAAAGGAAACAGCTTTCCACTGCTGATTGGTATTTATTATCTGCTTAAGCAAGATAATTCTACGATGAAAACTATAAAACTTTACAATCTGTACAAAATCCATTGTCGATCCCGACAGACGACGTCGTTTGGTATATAAGTAGGTTGAGGGGGTGTTAATCGCTGTCAAGAAAGATATAGTACCAATCCATAGAGTTGTTGAACATTGGACTGAGCTATGTTAACAGGTGTAAGCTACCTGGATAAAGTCCGCTTGATGATTGTATTCAATGGTTAAAAACTGAGTGGCATAGCTCAGATTTGTCCACAATGGCGTAGGTGCATTCACTCCCTATATTCTTTCAGAACATGAGTCCCAAGATCTTCTTATATCTTTTTCTTTTTCTATACTTAATCTTTCCTGCTACTACTCGTACTACTCTGCGATTTGTCTCAAAATAATTTCATCTGGCTATAGTGATATGGTGTGGAAACCTAAACCGAAGTTGTACTGAAGCAGTATGGCAATCTGAATTAATGAGAATGTATGTCAGGTTGCACATGACATGACATATATTAATTAAGATTATCCTTTTTTTATTCTTATACATCAACACATGTTCGTTTAAAAAGAACTATATGTATATATATATGCACTTACGCTCTAACATAAACTAATTCACTATTGAAAGAATCCGATGGTTTAGCACTAGGATTGAATATTAAGTCCGGACCAAATCGTAATGAATGTATGTCATGTAATGCACGTTTAATAATATCTAAAAATGCTGACTCGTAATCGGCTGCTGAAGAAAAATGATCCTGGAGAAGCGTATTGTTATCATCTTTAGTGGAATAGTGTTGATGATCTGATAAATTTTGTGAATTTGTACACCCTAAACTGTTCAAGCTGGTTTGAGAACCACCAGTATATAAGGAAATTCTAGCGGGTTGATTTGACCCAACATAACTCGATCCTGAATTGCTTGACGTAATACCGTCACCAATACTACCAACGACACCAATATTACCAGTACTTGTTGTACGAATACGTCCAGTACTATCATCACCACTATGTCGACCAACGTGTAATGCAACATTTTGTAAACCAACAGCTTTAACCGTTGACGACGGCAAAGAATGACGCGTCCCGACACTAGATATAGCAGACTGTAAACAAACCCATTCGTATAAATTTGTTGGCTTGGAAATATTGTTATAATTGAACTGAAAAATAAATTATGAAAATAATTATTTTCCAGTTTTTAGGGTTATGGAAATTGTTAAGTTTAATTGAAACCATGGATCGATTAATGTTAAACCACCATTGGAAACCTGGAAGCACTGGACGCCCGTTTCGTACTAGCATGGGACTGATCAGTAGTGTGCATCCACAACCCATTCTGGAGTGGGAATCGAAACCAGGAACTTTGGTCTCGTGTGAGAACACTTAGCATCTCGACCACTGAGTCAGCATTCAACAGTGTAAGTTTCCAACTCCAACCAATGCATGATATTGCGCGACTACATCCATTGTCTTCGATGGGAGTACGATACAGGTGTCTAGTGCTTCTAGATTTCCAATGGTTGTCTAACATTAATCAATCCATGGTTTCGATGAAACAAATTATTTATCTAGAAGTGAAAAATGAATTTTGTATCAAAAATTCGATCACCCACAAGTCGAAAAAATGGGCCTACTGTTCCACTGAGTGAAGTTATATTCCGTTTACTATAAATTCTCAAAGAATTTTTTTCACTTTTTTCGGATAGCTAAAGCTTCCGATTCCTGATTGGAGGTTAAGAGTAGCATGCTTAAGTAAGTACAGCTTTTGTAACATAAAGTAGGTTGAGGAGCGAAACTGTTATGGTATCAACGAAGGAATATGATGCTGAATATCTTGAATCAACTGCGGATAGAAAAACAGGAAACATAACCGATTTCCACCGTCTTTTTTTAAAAAACTAAGTAGGGAGATGTTCTTGAATGCGATAGAGGGGAAACCTAAGTTTATAGTTCAACAAGAGCAAGAGAAATGGCGTGTAAACATCCAACCAGTCGTAGCAACTTAGCTTTCATACAAAATTTAGTGGATAAGACGTATTGCGAATTGATCTTTTAAGACAAGTTTAAAAACATATAATCAGTGAAATCGCTCTCTAGACAAAATAAAATTAGGATCAGGGATCAATGTACTCCCAGCCTTTGGGTCAGTCATACAAGCTTCAATGTAACGCCTTGTGATATTCTACTCGGTCAATTAAGTACAGATAAATGGACCTAAGAAAAGGTGGTTGTATTGCTTCATAATTATAGGTATAGTTATTGGATGAATGAATGTGCCATAACCATTAAAAAACAGTTAACATACCGATTCTTTATGATCGACGATTTCACTGGTTACAGCTATTAACTGTGGTGGTAACGGCAATTCCGATAATTCCTTTTTTAAGTCTTTGAAGCTACAAATAAGAGTGGAATGACATCATTTTAAAATTTACATGTTCCAATCATACACATAATGAAGCTGAAATCAGAAGAGATGAAGCGACCTCTAGGTTAGTCTAGGGTGACGTTGATCGAACCATATTGGCTATGATGTGATTAATTTTAATGAGGAACATGTCATTAAAGATTTTATAGATTACTAATCATCAGCTTGTCAATGTGTGAATAAAATGCTTAAAAATGAGAGATAAGTTGCTTCAATGCTTCTTAAGCTTGGAATTGAGGTAAGGGATAAGAGTATAGTTTACGGTTAGAAGTGTGGATATGAATTACAGTAGTAAGTTAACTTGAACAGCTAAGAACCTGTAGCCCAGTCCAGAAAACTTAATTTTATATTATAATTCACTAATTCTTATTTGTTGCTTGCTGATTGGCTGATACAGGCTAAAATTACAACGTAATTCAGTAGTATGATCTGGGTTTACTTATGTATGTTTTCTAGTCAATAGCATATGTCAGTTACTAATGAATTAAAACCTCTACAATATTAAATTATAAATCACAAATCTAGCTAAAATATGTACAATATTAGAAATTGGTAACTTCAAAAAAATGCAGACTTCAACCTACTTGTACAACTTTCGTTCCCAATCAGAAACACATTCTTCAAACTGAACTAATCGACTTGTTGCAAACATCAAACGTTTATTTGTATCTGCAGCTACTTCAGCTAAATTAGCCAATGCAACACACCATCCCTAAAATAAGAATCAAAAGACTAGTTTAGGAAGATGTGATTTTACTTCATTCAGAGTTAGTAATATATAGACTTATATCTCGAAACTGTAGATGGCTTGATCTTTTGGTCTTGCACAATACATGTGCAACCTTCATGTGATGGCGCCCCGAAAAGAGGTAACTTCCCACTGTATGGGCAACGAAGAAGTGAAAATAGCCTTAATGCTTCTAATATGAGTCTAGATAACTGTGACTGACCGACATATAATCTCTCAAAACTTAGGGAACAAAATCAGTCGACGAATCATTGTAGTAGCAAGGTGACAACTCACAAAACGCAGGTGCCTATTTCTTCAAGTCAGAACAGATGTGTAAAACGGTGATATGTTATCAACTTCTGTTAGCTTATGACATACAGAGATATGGCAAGGTTCTGCATTAATCGTCGTTTTTTTAATTTGTTTGATTGATTGTGCAGATATAGTAATGTCAAATTTACAAGCTAATGAGTATCAAATTTATATATAAAAAATATATGACAAAAATATTAACAGCTCAATATGGTTTGACTGATATCGAAATTTTTATAAATCGCAATGGTAGTAACCGAAAAATTTTCTAGTTAAATGCACATGTAGTAGCTAGACAACTGTCAGTGAATAATTGTGAGGTTTAAATGTCATGAACTGAATTTAACAAGGAAAATATTCAAAATAAATAGCGGATACGAAATCCCACTTATTAATGTAATTATTTGAATTTGAGTTCAACAAGTATCACTTTTATCTGAAACAAACACATTCGCGCAAACGATCACAAGCAAATCACAAGTTGGAATTAAGTCTCATTTTATACCATTTATAATAGTGTGAACAACAAACTTGTATTCAGCAAATAGACAAATATAACGAAAAATCATAATCGGTTAGCGATTGTCATATGAGAGGTTTGTGACAAATCAGAGATTACGCGATCCCCATAATTCCCTTAGAAATCTCTACTTCATTAACGGACGCAATAAATTATTGGGCTGAAGTCAAGGATGTAAACTATTGGTAGCCTAAAGGTTAATAAATTATCATTAAATCTGAAGGTCCTCTGTTTGTCCTTGACAAGATCTCATACTACGATGAAGCAGCTATTCGATGTCCACTGATTTTCAATATTTTTTATAGAACGTACTGAAATTGATTTGGCAGAATCGTCAATCGATCTGAACAAAAGTATAATTCACTGACGGACCAATTAAATGTAACACTATGGAATGAGAATTCGTAATGTGATGATAAATAGCTTGTACATTTAGGAAAAACTTACTAATAATACCTTAGAAACAAAAATCAAATTATTAAACGTGAGGAAGAGAGAATAGAGACTATGATTTACGAATGCTTGGATGTGATTTAAAGGTAGCTGGTCATGACAATCAAAGTATGAACTGAATATGCATTCATTCATGTGATCACAAAGCGTTTTTCCACTCTGTTCCTAACCATTAATTCTACAGCTTGATCCTAATCTTAAACATAAATGTAAATTTTAAACAAAACCATTATCTCAGTTTCTGTGCAGTCAATTCTTTACTCATATTACCGACATTCTGATCGACTAAATATTAGCTTTACGTTTCAAGGTTCGTTGAAGCTCATCAGTAAAGTATACTTTCAATATCAACCTGTTTTTTTCCATAAGAATGTAAATAAACCACTAAATAAATAGTCACTTGAACAAAATATATGAGTAGTTAATGTATAACCTGAATCATTTGACGTTGTTCAGAAACCAATTGTTCAATTGCATTAGCAGTTTCACGACCAATTAATGTAAGTGAACGAATAAGCCGCAGTCGCTCTTCAAACACCTTTTCAGACGGAGCTAATTCTAACAGACCGGTAAGTTGTCGTGGATATCCCCCATCTATGTTTAAAAAAAAGAAAATTTAGGCACTTTGACCTTGAACTTGCAGAAAAACACTACCGCTTATTTATTCAGGGAAATTGTTTAACGTACAATAAGCAATTGTTGACAATATGTAACATGAATTAGTTTCAAAAGTCGTAGTCATATACGATCAATTGGTTACTCGATATGTGAACCTTTATCAATCAACTCGACTAAAATGTAACAGGAGTACTGATTCATTGTCAACTACGATGTATACTGATAAGAAAAATAGAGGTTTACTATCTAGTGCAGTTCCGAGGTCGCTACCTTGATTTGTTGGTTCGACTTCCCAATCGTGATGAACCAACCGAGCTATATTGGTTGCAACATATGTTCCTGAAGGCTCTACTATACAAGACAGGTTGATTGGAGAACGGTGAGACTGAAAACAGCAACTCAAGGTTCGAGAGTCAAGTCGTACTGCTGACTGTAGAGGTGTGATAGCAATAAGGTGCCTCTCTCGGACAGCCAGCATCTGCTGCGATGCTGCCTTCTCACAAGGAAGGAAGGATTCAGAAAAGGCCGACCCTAAAAATGCAACACTTCACCTTACCTCAAGGATTTCCGTCTCGGTCAATAAAGCCACTTGAAGAGCGGAACTAACACCTCAAAAACTTCTCATAAAAAGACCGCGCGAAACTGGCCTCAAGCACTTGATAAAGGTCTTCGAATTGGGTAAAATACAATTCATCAAAATCATAACATCTCCCGAATATACAAGACTAACCAGTCGCACTTTTTCCTTTATCACCCCAATGAAAAATAAAGAAAAAACTCAGTTTACCATATAGGCGTCTAGAAACATCACTGCTGCTTCCTGGAGTCTCGCTGATGAAGGTTTAGCGAGATAATCATTCAACCTGGGAGCGTGACCGCAGAGCCCAAGTAACAACTGCTTGAGGCCAGTCACACGCACGGTCTTTTTATGAGAAGTTTTTGAGGTGTTAGTTCCGCTCTTCAAGTGGCTTTATTGACGGAGACGGAAATCCTTGAGGTAAGGTGAAGTGTTGCATTTTTAGGGTCGGCCTTTTCTGAATCCTTCCTTCCTTGTGAGAAAGCAGCATCGCAGCAGATGCTGGCTGTCCGAGAGAAGCACCTTATTGCTATCACACCTCTACAGTCAGCAGTACGACTTGACTCTCGAACCTTGAGTTGCTGTTTTCAGTCTCACCGTTCTCCAATCAACCTGTCTTGTATAGTAGAGCCTTCAGGAACATATGTTGCAACCAATATAGCTCGGTTGGGTCATCACGATAGGCAAGCCGGACCAGCACAAATTAGCAGCTATGGTCGGGAGCTCTATAGAAGGTTGCAGTCAATCGCTGTAAAACGCCCAACAAACGACCTGACCATTTTAATGAGAAACTTAAAGACCAAGGTTAGAAAGGACAACACTGGATATGAAGACATCATCGGACGACATGGACTGGAAGAAAAGAACGAGAACGGTGAGAGGTTCGCAATTCTATGCGCCTCCAACAAAATGGTTATGGGCGGCATACCTTGGCCAGTCAAAAAATCTACGGGTTATGACCCATCATCTGATTGGATGATAATCATCCAATTTATAAATAATTTTTGTAAGTTTTTCAGAGGCTAAGGTCTATATGGAGTGCAAGTAGTGTTACTGTCAATGATAGGTACAGATAAAGGAGGGTTGAGTATGAGACTAACAACCCATCTTGTGGATGTACTGTTAAATGAAATGAAAGATTCAGTAGACACCCAACTTCCAGATCAATAGGCCAGATTCCGTAAGGATTGACTGTGTTCTGACCAAAGAGTAACACTGCGGAACAGTGTGGAACGGTCAATTGAATAGAACTCACCACTGTACATCAACTTCATTGACTAAAAGAGAGCACTTGATAGCGCGGACCGGATAACACTATGGAAGCTTGTCCGACACTATGGCGTGCATGAACATATTGTCAACATCACACGGAATTCGTACGATGGGTTAAACTGAAAAATCGTGCATGAAGGACAGCCCACAAACTCATTTCAGGCGAAGACCGGTACCAGACAAGATTGCTTGCTATCACCCCTTCTCTTTCTTCTAATGGCTGACTGGATTATGAAAACCTCAACATTTATTGGAGAAGCAAGGGATACAGTGGACACCTCTGATGTACCTGGACGAGTTGGACTTGCAGACGACATAGCTTTTCTATCACACACACAAAATTGTAGAAGACAGCCAGTGTAGCAACAGCCTCTGCAACAGTAGATCTCAACAGACACAAGAGAAGGAATAAGATCCTCCAATATGACACGGAATGCGCCAACCAAATCACACATGACGGATAAGCTTCGGAAGATGTAGAAACATCTACATATCTGGGAAACATCATTGATAAACAAGGTGGATCTGATGCCGATGTGAAGACACGGGTTAGCAAAGCAAAGACAGCATTTCTACAACTGAGGAACATCTGGAACTCAAGACAACTGTCAGTCAACACCAATGCCACAATTTGCAATACAAATGTCAAGACAGTTCTACTGTATGGAGCGGAAACTTGAAGAACTGCGAAGGCTATCATCTAAAAGATACAGGTGTCTACTAACAGTTGTCTACGCAAGATACTGCGGATCCAATGATCTGACACCGACAGCAACAACCATGAAATAAACCTCAACTTGGAGTACTCTAGGACAAGGAAGAGGAAGACCAAAGAACATATTACGCCGAGAATTGGAAGCAGACGAAGACTATGAACAGCAATTGAATAGGACTGAATGCATACAATAAGATTCTCATCTGGCTGTTAACACGCATTTCGTGTGATGGACTACGATATTGAGGGTTTCAAGGGAGTGAGCCAGGAATGGAATTAAAATGAACAGAGTCGACTAATGATCGTGACTCCCATCTTCTAGGTGGTTTACATGTATCATTTCTAATAAGAGACCTGAAGGTCCTGGTGATTTCAATGGTTCGACATCTAAAAGTGGTGGATAAGGGTTCGTTTGCCAACTCATTCATTTTATTACGCAACATATCAAGCTGATCATGCTTGCAAACAGGCATGAATTATGTAGTTATTAATTTCAGAATACATCATTATTTTTATTATTATTATTATTATTATACATAAAAGAATTGAGCTAACCATTAACTTGTAAAACATCTGGTTTTTGAACAGCTGTATCATTTGAAAATGTTTGCGTAAACACATAGATTGGATTAGTTTTATCCTGAATAATAAATAAAGGAAAATAGAACGAAAGCAACAGGTTAGTCACATCGTTTGAATCACAGTGATATAATTCCAATCGAAAAAATAACCTGACTCTTTCTGAGGTATCTAAGTGCAAATATCAAATGTAAGAATAAAATTTCAATAAGTAAACAGAAAGCCTGATGTACTTTAACTAGACTTGTACTATGTCTACTTGCTACTCGTGATTCAGTATCCTAATTATTGAGAAAACAGAGAAAACCCAAAGGTTTATTCCTGATTCAACCGAACACGATGATTCAGGGTAAACACCAAGTAGAATTTTTAAGTTTATTCATGATACTCACCAATAAAAGATGCGAGTTTCAAAACACGAGATACACGCAGAGGGAAAGTTCGAAATAGGAACCTATTTGTTAAAAATTAATTACTTGGATGACTTGAGTAAATTAAATGGAAATAATGCATCTCCCAACAAACGCGAAACATATCAACTCAAAAATATGCGATTCAAAGTCAACAAGCAGTTCCCGTTCACTTAATTTATTACACTACCCGTTTGAAAGAAATGAGAGTTCCATGGGCAATTATTTTTACAATTAATTTCAGTCAGTCAGTTACGACGTAGAACTTCAATTTATGTATAATGAATTAACTTATAATTAATTTATTATTACCATAGTGTAGTTTGTAGATGGGGAAATCACAGAATGAAATTACAACTTCACTGGACTAACTAGTGAATGTATATCGATATATATATATATATAAAATTGAACAAGAATGGAGAGAATGGACATCCCTGACGGACACTACTTAAAGTAATGAATTCCGATGACAGTTCGCCATAAGCTCTAACTCGAAGTGGTGTTCAAGTACAGAGTATGTATAAGGTAACCTACTTAGCCGGTACTCCTTTCAATGACAGACAATGCCACAGATCCCCACGACCGACAGAGTCGAAAGCAGCATTAAGGTCCAGATATACTACTATTGTGGAATGTCTGAACGTGTCATTGTTGTAGGAATGGAATGATAGGGGGTGTAGGAAGCATTTTATTGTAATCAATTTAGTCTCGTGTGAATACTAACGGTATGATTGTGGTGGTGTTTCGCTCTCTGAGATGGTTGTTTTGGTTGTGAAGCCACGACAACGCTTCGCTTATATCAATACACACCGACAATAATGGACACACATTTGATTGGAAACAATGTGGAAATACTGGGTAGGGGGAGGACAAAGAACACTAGAGAATTTTTAGAAGCTTGGCACTCAGGCCAATCAGCAATCAACAAACACATCGACAATGACACAATTTATCAACCAATCAGAAAAATCATAGGTGATACAGGATCAAAAAACAGATCAAAAGGGGGGTGCAATCAAAACAAAGTTGTAAACAACGACAGGTCAAAGGCCAACAGCAACCAATCAAGATCGAGGTTAGCAGAAAAAGCTACAGGTCAAACATGGAGAAATTCGAATGCTTCACTTCTATCTGAAGTTTGTGCTGATGATGTTGTTCGGAAGAACAATGAAAGCTCCACAACCAAAACAACCAGCTCAGAGAACGAAACACCACCACCATCATCCACATGAGCTACAAGTTTTCTCCACCATCTCACTAACGATATGAGGATGGAGGCCACTTCCCGGATGCCCACACCACAGAAAGGTATTTCTTCGGGTACTTGAAAAGGAAGATAGATTAGAATGCAACGCCGAAATGTGTGCCCGTGTTGTAGGACCTGACAAGATATGAAAATCTGGTCTATACATACACGTCCAGATCGAAAACCATCCCTGACGGGCACCACTGAAAGTTATGAATTCTGATGACAGTTCGCCATAAGCTCTCACCTTACCAGTGGTGTTCGAGTAGAGAGCTTGTATAAGGTTGATGTACTTCTTTGGCACACCTTTCAATGACAGACACTGCCACAGAACCACACAGTCGACAAAGTCGAAAACCAGCTTCGTTTTATCTAGCCTGATCTTCACAAGCTCTACTTAGGCGTCTAAGTATTATTGAAGCTAATATCTTAGACACTACATTAGTTAGACTGATCCCCCTGTGATTGTCAAAAGAGGACCAGTCGGATGGGATTACGTCCAGTTCCCAAATTCCACCTAGGATCTCAGTCTATCTAGCTGCTAAAACTGGACCACCATCTTTAAAAATCACAAGACACGCTGCTCAGATTTCATATCGCTTTCTCAACTTCGTAAACAGTCGGTGGACTAACGTCGATTTGCCATTCAGGATGACTGGAGATCGTGGGCAACCGAAGTGTGGCTGAAGGCCAGATGAACTGGTCCCTGAAGTGTTCTGCCCATAGATACAATCTCCTCGATTGAGAATGAATAATAAGACCATCATTTTCAGAGATAGTTTCACTCACATTCGGGTTCCTGATACCAGTACCTTGATGAGTCTGAACAGTTGCCTACTGTCGCCTATCGCCGCTTCCTTTTCCACCTACCTTGCTTTCGCAACCCACCACTGTTCTCGATCATTGCGAAGGCATTTTATTAGCCTGTGGTGCGAGCTACTTATAAGTAGTATATAGCGTGAGCGTCAACGTAATGTCTGGCAGCATAATATGGGGGAAGATCAAGAAAGAAAGAGTTAGAAAACAATGGAATTTGTATGAAACGCATGAATAGTGACAATGGATTGATGTTTTGCAACAGGAACAGTCCAGTTCCATAGGATGAACTGTTATTTTGCAAATGAACGATTTACGATATGGTTTTCCAATTTTACTGAGTAACTCTGTAATTATCGCTAAATACAATTCGGTTACCCCACCTGTGTTCTCTTTCACTACAAGCCTGCACCTGAGCTGACTCCGCTCTTCATTGTACTCAGTGCCAGGCAGGATGAGCTTTCGAGCATCCATCAGTTCGGTAGATTCTACTGAAGTCCACGGTTTCTCCCTAACCTTATGGTTTACCTTACTAGCAGATATCACTGCCGTTTACACAGCCTTTTTGATATCATTCCAAGCTGCCTGAAGGTGGGCATCACCTAACTGTTTTTCTAGTTCTTCCTGAAATATATTCTTAACTGTTCTGTCATTAAGTAGAATCCTAAGAGGTCTTCTCGAGGCATCTTTCCAATGTCCAGTAAGACGCAAACAAAGACGCGCTCAAACTAGAGCATGATCTGAATCGAAATAAATGTTGCAAAATGAGCGGCAGTCTTCAACAGAGCCTCTACATCGATGGCCTATATATAAGGACAGTTCATAAATTAATCCTGAGAGCTACCGTCCGTTCCATTTCCATTCTGATAGTGCAATGTCATAGCAAGTAAGTAGAGAGAGTAGTTTGGAAAGTATGGATCAAGTGGACATAAGGAAACGTAGAAAATAAGATTTAAGCTGAAGACCTACAGAAAATTACAAATAATTAATGAATCTGGGTCATTGAAACCGATCTCAAACTAGGTTTAAATAGGCATACAATCATCGATCACTAACGGACTACAAACAGTTAAGGTGTGAATCTCTGTAGAGATACAACAGACTAGTAGTGGTCCAACACTTTACAAGCCAACAATGTGTTTTAATCTGAGAAAGGACACATCCCCTAAAATTTATTAAACCAAAATTTATGTTGTTAACCAACATAGCACAAATGTCATAAAAAGGGTGGTAAGTGACCATGAATAAAACATCGACTGACTGATTCTCTCTGAACAACTATAGCGTGAAACGCTAGTAATAGAAATAATAATAATAACAACAATAAAACACATTCAGACAAGTTCAGTTTTGTTAAGTAGATTTAAAAACGACAAGTGTATAGGTTTAGATTATACGTGACTATGTGTGCACGCAAGGATAGAACCTTAAAATAAGAACACCATATAAAAACAAGTTTATTATGTAGGAAAAAACTCCAATTTTTTCCTAACCGCTAAGAGCAGCGTTTTTGGCGGAAACTAAAAAGTTTATTCACACTACTTGATAGGCGTTAGTGAGGTTATTGTGACAATGGAGCTGCTAGATGCTATGATTAGAAGTTGGCCACAATATGTAACGTGGGTGCATTCGTTCCTTTTTATTTTCATCGCTTTAGATCCAGGGTTTTGAAATTATATACTGTCTATGTCGAATGTTTTTTGCTACCACCGATACTGTTACTACTTCTACTGTGTAATTTGTCTTGATATTGATAAGGTGTAGTAACTTGCAGTAATGTACTTCTTATATGCCAGGTTCTATGACTGATTAATTGAATTTTAATTTATTTTCTAAACAAGTGATGTACATACACTACGTTGTGAGGTTAGAAATTCAATTTTCTACTTATCAGGATATAAAAGTAAGATTATTAAAGATCGGAATAAACTTCAATGTCGTTTTTCATTTTGAAGTTGTACATGGAATGCAGCGGGAATTAGTTTTTTCACCTCGAATCTTCTACTGTTCAGAAATATCACTTCATCTTCCTGTGGACATGTCACGTGTAGTGGTCAGTCGTGAAGAAAGAAAAATTATAACAACAAAAGTCATATCTCCAATAAATTCTATAATAAAAACTATTCCAAATGATTCACATTATGGGACAACACAGACTGGAAGAAAGGAACCGAAAAGGTGAGAGATTTGCACTTCTATGTGCCGTCAACAAAATGTTTATAGAAGGCACCATATTCCCACAAGAAGACATACACAGAGCTACATGCGCTTCACCAGATCACATTACACAGGACCAAATCGACTACATCTGCATCAATGAAAAATTCTGAAGCACCATGGAAAACATAAAAACAAAGAGAAAAGCTGACATAGCTTGAGATCACCATCCGGTGGTGAACAGGATGAAACTGAGGTTAAAGAAGCACTGAAATACTGTAGAAACGGCTTAGAAAAGTTCAGCATGGCCTTCCTTCGGGATGCTGACAAACTCAACGAGTTCAAGATGGCTCTCAGCAATAGATTATTCCAGGCCTCTCACAACCTACTCAACGGAGAACAACTGGAAAGTGACCAGGGGCGCAATCCCTTCAGCATGTCATGGGTTTCTGAGCCGCAAGAAGCACCATCACAAGGAATGGACCATTGTTGATACTCTGGATAAGAATTCAGAAAGGAGGAACAGGAAGACAACAATCGACATCAGCCAAACAAGAGCAGAAAAAGCCAAGGAACAAGCTGAACACGCTGAAGAAAGAAAGTAAGTGAAGAGGAACATAAGAGCCTACAAACGTATGTGGAAGATCTAGCAATGACGGTGGAAAAAGCTGAAAGAGAAAGAAACATGAGACAATTGTATGATACAACAAAGAATCGAGCTGGAAATTATTATCGTAGACCGGACAAGTCTTCACTTGGAATCCTCAAGGCCAACGGAAAAAAGGAAGGCTAATGAACTCATTACGCCGAAAAACGGGAACAGATGATATGATGAGAATGAACAACAGTTGGACAGAACTAAAAAGGAAGGCCCAGGACAGAGCAGGTTGGAGAATGCTTGTCGGCGGCCTATGCTCCACTAAGGGTTACAGGCGTCAGTAAGCAAGTAAGATATAAAAACATACTATCGAATCAATCAATCAATAACGTCTTATAAGTTATATTTAACATCAGGATCTTCTCTACAGTTTATCACCGTTATTTAACGAACTCATGTAGAGTTGTAGTTCACTTGTGTGATGAACATGATATCAAAATAATGCCTGATATCCTTGAGCACTGCCCGGATTACACAAATCATCAGGATCAAATTGTCTAAGTTTATTTGAAACACAATCACTCATAATAATAATAATAATAATAATAATAATAATAATAATAATAATAATAGAATATATTACACTTACCAAACCCGCACCATACATCGACAATTTATCTCCTGGTTCTAACTGGAACCCACCTGATACTAAAAGAATTTGTTTATTCAATGGTAGGTCAAAATCATGTGCCAAAACATTGCGTAGGCTTGAAACCCTTGAAAGAAATGAATTGATATAAAGTCATCATTATTGAGATGCAATGTATCATCTTATTAGTAATGACACTAAGCAACCTGGATATAAAAATGATCAAGGCAAATGGGCAGTGATAAATAGTATGGATAGATAAATAGTATCTTGATCGAACACACAGTTTAATTTTCAGAAAAACCAAAATACATCTTTTTTATCTGAAAAAGCTTACTGTACTTTTGAGAACAATGACATTTAAATCTATGGTGGTATAACCAATGATTTATGGTGTAGTGAATGAGAACACAGGTGGAGGCAACCGAATTGTATTTAACGAAAATTACAGAGTTACTCAGTAAAATCGGAAAACCATATCGTGAATCGTTCATTTGCAAAAGATCAGTTCATCCTATGGAACTGGACTGTTCCTGTTGCAAAACATCAATCCATTGTCACTCTTCATGCGTTTCCTACAAATTCCATTGTTTTCTGACTCTTCCTTTCTTGATCTTCCCCCCATATTATGCTACCAGACTTTACGTTGACACTCACGCTATATACTACTTATAAGTAGTTCGCACCACACCACCACAATGGTACCAATCATGTCTGAAAACTTTTCCAGCTACTGTGTTGCGAAATTCTTAAGACCCTGCATACAAGGAGATGTATTGGGTGAGGACGATTTATTTAGAACGGATAATTTCATTCGGTTGTAAACCAGATATCTCCTACTTTATCAACTAGTTTCATAGTCAAGAAATAACATAGTGTCGAATTCACTCTGATAAAATTCTTAAAATAACACATAGGATGTCACAATTACGTCCCGCCTCCGCTATTACTTATGTAGTGTAGTAATATTTCGGAGATAACAATAATTGAACACAAGGAATTGACGAACATCGATATTCGGAAGGGATATATTTTACAAGCATATATTTAGAGCGTCCCCATGGATCCATTTGGAAACCAAACCTGTTATTGGGAACCCATTAAAATTTTTTAATAAAGTATCCAGAACACTGCAAAATGCCTATAACGGATCAACCAAACAGCATCAGTCAGTCAGTCAGTTGCAACGTAGAACTTCGTACGTATGTACATAAGTTCATGTTGCCATACCACATTATTAGCACAGAGACGCAAATGTCAAATCAAATCCCATAGTCATAAAGATAGTAGAGGTATTAATGTTATAATAAAGAAGACTAGGGTTTAAGATATTATTCAAAAAATATAATTCAGTGAGATAAGGTTAGAAAGACAAAGGTAGGGGTGCTGGCTAATCCAGAAGATTAGGATTTGAGAGAGCTCAAAGAGTGGATGCACCTGCGCCATTGCAAACGATTTTGAGCCATGTCAGTCAAGGTCTCTAACCATTGATGACTTTCGTCTCGCGGACCCCAACCAGGTAGTCTACATCTACCAACATGACTCAGTCCACTTGTCAGTGACTTCATGGATTTCTGCCATGTTTTGGTCTGGCCGCCCCTAGCTTTCTTCCAACCTACTCTTACACCACAAAACATAGCTCGTCGGGGCAGTCGGTGGTTAGCCATACGTAACACATGTGCCAACCACCTCAACTGATGAAGTTTCACCACTTCATCGATTGATCTGCCATCCTTACCTAGTACCCGTTTCCTAACGACAGCATTGCTTACTCGGCTGTCCCACGATATACGAGCAATGCTTCTTAAACATCTATGATCGAATACTAGTAACCTACGAACATCTTCTACTCTTAACGGCCATGTTTCACAGCCATATAAGAGAACGGAACGAACTGCTGCGCAGTACACCCGTCCTTTGGTTAGTGAACGGATATCACGCCTACGCCATAAGTGACGCAGGTTGGCAAAAGCCAATCGAGCTTTCTGTATCCGAGCTGAGATTTCGTCAGTCACCAGACCGTCAGCACTGATGAGACTCCCCAGATAAGTGAAGTGATCTACTCGCTCGACTACTTCACTCCCTATCACTAGTTCAGGTGCCGAAGCAACCCAGTCTTGAAGCAACATTTTGCATTTCGAGGGGGAAAACCGCATCCCGAACATGGTTGCATTGTTGCTTATGGTAGTCAGAAGACTCTGCATTTTGTCAGCGTCTTCACCGAATAGAACTATGTCATCGGCATATTCTAGATCAGTAAGCGACTTTCCTGGTAGAAGGTCAACCCCTGAAAAATCTGACGAGCTTAATGTTAACTCTAAGAGGATGTCTACGACAAAGTTGAACAAGAATGGAGAGAGTGGACAGCCCTGACGGACACCACTTGATGTAGAGAATTCAGATGACACTTCGCCATATGCTCTCACCCGACCAGTGGTGTTTGAGTAGAGTGCTTGTATAAGGTTAATGTACTTCTTTGGTACACCTTTCAATGACAGACACTGCCACAGAACCTCACGATCCACTGAGTCGAATGCCGCCTTAAGGTCCAGGAACACGACTATTGTCGGACGTCTAAATGTGTGTCTGTGTTCCAGGACCTGTCGTAGTGTGAAGATGTGGTCTATACAACCACGTCCAGGTCGAAAACCAGCCTGGTTTTCTCGAGTCTGCTCTTCACGAGCTCTAGTTAGACGTCTAAGTATAATCGAGGCTAACAATTTAGAAACTATATTAGTTAAACTTATTCCCCTGTGATTGTCACAAGAGGACTTCTGTCCTTTCTTGTAGATTGGGACAATTAGCGACTGAGACCAGTCAGATGGGATTACGTCCATTTCCCAGATTCTACCTAGGATCTCGGTCAGTCTAACCGTTAAAACTGGACCACCATCCTTAAATATCTCAGGGGTAAGCCTATCGGGACCTGTCGCTCTACCTCTCCTTAGATTTCCTATAGCTTTCTCAACTTCATGTAAACTGGGAGGACTTAAATCGATTTGCCATTCAGGATGACTGGAGATCGTGGGCAACCGAAGAGTGGCTGAAGGCCAGTTGAACTGATCCCTAAAGTGTTCTGCCCATCGGTCTAGCCTCCTAGATTGAGAATGGATAATAAGACCATCCTTTTCCTAAATAGTCTCATTCACATTCGGGTTCTTAATACCGTATTCTTTAATAAGGCGGAAAAGTTGTCTAGTGTTACCAATCGCCGCTGCCTTTTCCATCGCTTTTGCTTTCGCCACCCACCACTGTTCACGGCCGTTGCGTAGGCTTTTCATAAGTCTGCGTCTAAGCTGACTACGCGCTTCATCATGTTCAGAGTCAGGTGGGATGCGTTTTCGAGCATCCATCAGTTCCGTGGATGCGACTGAAATCCATGTCTTTATCCTAGCCTTATGGTTTACCTTGCTAGCAGATATCACTGCTGTTTCTACAGCCTTCTTGATATCACTCCAACCTGACTCCGGATGGAAAGCACCTCCATGGTCGCCTAACTGTTTTTCTAGTTGTTCTTGAAATATTTTCTTAGCTTGATTATCATCAAGTAAAGCCCTAAGAGGCTTCCTTACGGTGTCTTTCCTACGTCCGGCAAGCCTCAGACAAATACGTGCTCGCACTAGGGCATGATCTGAATCTAAACATGTGCCCCAGAACGAGCGACAGTCCTCTATCGAACCCCTCCATCGGTGGCTGATGGCGATATGATCTAGTTGTGTCCAACGTTGAGACGACTTCGGGGGTCGCCAGGTCAAAAGGTGTTTTTCCTTATGCTTAAAATTAGTGTTTGCTAGAAATAGTTGATTATCTGAGCACAGTTGCAACAGACGGTCGCCATTGTCTGTTCTTTGAGCCGCGAGACCGTAACATCCACCTAGGTGTCTTTCATTTTCACTTAGTCTACCTACTTGTGCATTGAAGTCACCAGCCATTATAACTATATCAGAGCGCTTAACTTTCTGGAGGAGGTCCAAAAGCTTTCTGTAAAACTCATCTTTTACATCATCTGGGCTGCAGTCAGTGGGGGCGTAGGCTGATATGACGAAGAGGCAACGGCGAGTGTCCCTATCTTTCCGAGTCCTTACTGTCCCGTTCAGTCGGACGGCGCACAAGCGACTATCTACAGGGATCCAGTCAAGGAGAGATTGTTCTGCCCTACGACTCAATGCTATACCTACACCGGCGAGGCCCCTAGAAGCAGCATCAGGGCTACCGGATACACGAAGGGTAAATCGAGCTGCTTCTTTATCTTGACATGGTGAGGTCAAATGAGTGATGCTACTCGGATCCTGTATGCGCGTTTCCGAGACGCAGCACACATCGATGGAACGAGATTCTAAAGTCCTAGCTAATGATGCCTGTTGCCCTATTTGACACAATGTCCGTACATTGAATGCTCCAACATGTAGTCTAGAGCGAGGTTTAAGGAGACCAGGAACGACGTTTCGCAAACTCGCATCGTTTGCATTAGCTGTGCACTGTAATAAATGAATGTGAGAAGAGTTAGTTGTGGAGATAAGAGAGGTATTAGGGAATTTAGGAAGGATTTGATTTTGAACAATTTGGTCTCGTGTGCTGTTACGGGTATGAGGGCGGTTATCACTTCCCGGCTGCCCACACCCTGGAAGGTTGTTTCTTGACGAACCTGAAAAGGAAGATGGATTAGTGTTGGTGCGTGACCGCAGAGCCCAAGGGACAACTGCTTGAGGCCGGTCACGCACGGCCTTTTTATGAGAGGTATTTAGAGGATTAGTTCCGTTCTTAAAGGCCCTTAGTGGGCACCCTTACCCAAGGAGACGGAAATCCGTGAGGTAGGGGAGGTGTGACATTTTTAGGGCCGACCTTTTCTAACCCTTCCTTCCTTGTGAGAAGGCAGCATCGCTGCAGATGCTGGTTGTCCGAGGGAAACACCTTACTGCTGTCACACCCCTCTGCAGTCAGCAGTACGACTTCGCCCTCAGACCTTGGGTAGCTGCTTTTAGTCTCATCGTTCTCCAATCGACCTGCCTGGCATGGTAGGACCTGCAGGAACATGTGTTCCAGCCAGTATAGCTCGGTTGGGTCATCACGATAGGCAAGCCCGACCACCACGTCAAGGTAGCAGCTTCGGTCGGGACCAAACAGCATCAAATAGAATCTAAGAGAGATCTAGAAAAATGAATGATTATATATCATGTACTCGAGCTGAGATTTCGTTACATACCAGACCATCAGCACTGAGACAAGTGAAGTGGTCGACATGCTCAACTACTTCACTCCCTATCACTAGTTCAGGTGCCAATGCAACCCAGTCTTGAAGCAACATTTTGCATTTCCAGGGTGGGAACCGCATCCCGAACATGATTGCAATGTTGCTTAGGGTAGTCAGAAGACTCTACACTTTGTCAGCGTCTTCACCAAGTAGCACTGTCATCGGCATATTCTACGTCAACAAGAGAATCTCCTGGTAGAAGGTCCTCCCCTGAAAAGTTTGACGATGATAATGTAATTTCTAAAAGCATGTCAAGGACAAAGTTGAGTAAGAATGGAGTTAGTGAACAACCCTGACGCCCACCATTTGAAGTAATCAATCTCGATGACAGTTTGTCATAAGCTCTCACCTGAGAAGTGCTTCCGTGTTAGTAGGACACAGATTGGAACAAAGTACGTCCAGTGTTGGATTATTTTGGGGCACCCTGCTTAGCGCGTCATCAACCAAAAAGCGCTAGCGGACAGATGGAAAAGGTTCTAGATTATTCTTGTGTGGAAACTGAATGTGCTAGTGTTTTCATTAATATGATTCAACTTGTTTTGCGGGAATATAATAACCACCTGTTCAATCCGTTTTCTGATTTTGGGGACTAATTGAGCATTGCAGTATCAAAGAATACTAAGAAATAAGATAGCTAGGCTGCATAAGCGAGATCATTAACAGCCTGCACTGAGTTGTACCGCTTTGGTACGCCATGAAATGACAGACTGTGCCATTGAGTCTCACAATCAACAGATTCAACGCCAACTTGACGACAAAGGGTTTGAATGTATGTCTGCGTTCTATAACATGATGAATTGTGAATATTTAGTTTATATGTCCACGTCCAGGTCTGAAATCACCTTGGCTTCCTCAAGTTTGTTCTTCACGAACTTCAGCAAGCAAGTATTATAAAAGCCAAAACTTCAGCCACAGTATTAGTTAAAATGATTCTTCATTGATTATCACAAGGGTGAATTGCGTCAGGTCTTTATTCTGATATAGTGAGGCCAAGGGCAAGACTGTACTGAGATCCTGTATGCGCGTTTCAGAGGCTCAGCACACATCAATGGTGCGAAATTCTAGGGTCTTAGCTAAAGAAGCCTGTTGTCCTATCTAGCACGAAGTTCGGACATTAAAAGCCCAAAAATGTAGTTTATAGTATAGTCTCAAAAGATAAGGAATAGAATTTCGTGAACTTGAATTACTATCATTAGCAGTGCGAGGTGATAAAGATATGCAAAAAGGGTCAGTTGTGAGGATAAAAGAATTATTAGGTGAGAGAAGGATTTGATCATGAACAACTGATCTCGTGTGATGTGAGAGGTATGAGGGCGCTTGTCACATACCGGCCGCCCACACTGTATACCCCGACAGAAGACGTCGTTTGGTATATAAGTAGGTTGAGGGGGTGTTAATCGCTGTCAAGAAAGATATAGTACCAATCCATAGAGTTGTTGAACATTGGACTGAGCTATGTTAACAGGTGTAAGCTACCTGGATAAAGTCCGCTTGATGATTGTATTCAATGGTTAAAAACTGAGTGGCATAGCTCAGATTTGTCCACAATGGCGTAGGTGCATTCACTCCCTATATTCTTTCAGAACATGAGTCCCAAGATCTTCTTACATCTTTTTCTTTTTCTATACTTAATCTTTCCTGCTACTACTCGTACTACTCTGCGATTTGTCTCAAAATAATTTCATCTGGCTATAGTGATATGGTATGGAAACCTAAACTGATGCAAGTGGGTCGGGTTCTACGTTGCCTATAACTTACCGAATGAAACATTAATTGAGAGATTGTTGACTACTTTGTTAGTTTACTAATTGATTTCCCCAAAACTGAAGCCAGTTATGTATAGTGTCATCGCATAGCCGAACACCGCCTATTCCGGTTAAGGAAATGATAGGTAAGAGTGACTAAGAGTTCCGTTCTTGATGACTTGGTGAACACAGTACACCAAACTGATTAGAATAGAGGTCTTGAAGTTATCCACCATATTTCAACAGATTAACCACATGGCGTACGAGTTCGCCTTTTGCATTTGCTAAAGCTATCGGAATCGACGTTCATAAACCTAACCTTCTAACTGAAAGGAAGTTTGTACAACAGCTCTAATACACTGGCCATTGATAGAGGTGTAACTTTACACATTTTCAACATCGAACTGTTTTAATACTGACCTTTCATATAAGTGTATATGACGACTTAGGGAAAAGAAATTTCTTTATTTTTTCATTTTACTAAAATGGAGATTTGACTATGATTTCTGCAGAAATGTTTACTAGACGGCAGTTCAAATCATATTCCAGTAACCTAATGTCAAAAAAACTGTTGTTGAGATGATAAGTAAAGACTGTCAATTGGTAGTGATATAAACATATGGTGAACACAAGGACATAAAAATTGTGGTACAGACTACAACCAGCACAAGGCTTTAAGAGATGAGCAGAAATGATACGATAAGGCCATTGATATTGATTTGTTCACCGACAGTAGCAACAACCTTCACGACGTGGTCGCGCCTGCCTATCGTGATGACCCAACCGAGCTATATTGGTTGCAACATATGTTCCTGAAGGCTCTACTATACAAGACAGGTTGATTGGAGAACGGTGAGACTGAAAACAGCAACTCAAGGTTCGAGAGTCAAGTCGTACTGCTGACTGTAGAGGTGTGATAGCAATAAGGTGCCTCTCTCGGACAGCCAGCATCTGCTGCGATGCTGCTTTCTCACAAGGAAGGAAGGATTCAGAAAAGGCCGACCCTAAAAATGCAACACTTCACCTTACCTCAAGGATTTCCGTCTCGGTCAATAAAGCCACTTGAAGAGCGGAACTAACACCTCAAAAACTTCTCATAAAAAGACCGTGCGTGTGACTGGCCTCAAGCAGTTGTTACTTGGGCTCTGCGGCCATGCTCCCAGGTCTCCGAGACCAACACTAATCTACCTTCCTTTTCAAGTACCCCGAGAAATACCCTTTCGTGGTGTAGAAACAGCCGTGATATCTGCTAGTAAAGTAAACCCTTCCGTGGTGTGGGTAGCCTGGAAGTGACATCCGCCCTCATACCCGTAGCAGCACACGAGACCAAAATAGCCACAATTGAATCCTTCCTACCCGTTTAACATCGAAAATTAGGTTTTAAAATATAACATGATTAATAAACATACTTTAATCCATGTGGTCGAACACCAAGTAGGAGAGATCGAACCTAGAACGAAGCAGCTGAAAATGAGGCATCTAGATTTCTATTCTGTGACAGTTGGAACTAGTGGACATATTACACTTCCTTATTGTTGGGGATGTTAGATTCCCAGAACTCGCTTGATAAATGCCTTATCTTGCATTTCACGTTTGCAAGCATAGGCTGGTCAGATGACCTTGAGATTTCACTTCCCACCAGGACAATATTTGGCTGTGATTGGCTGCTGTGTATTTTAGTGTGCTATTTTTGTAACTTCCAAGGACGTTTCTGTGATGTATAAATAAACAAGAGTTGTGTGCTTGATTGCTTGCTGGGTGTTGTAGAATATACTTTCTAAGCTTATCAAGACTTCTGTTTTGCAGTTTGGGATTCAAGGTAGCCTACCTGGACGCTAGTAATTGTCTCGTTTGCGTTTATCGACTAAGGTGAACTCGTAATAGCTTCAAGCGTACCTAGTGACGAGCTTAACACGGCAAACATACAAGGAACAAAACGTTATGAAAATAACTTAGCAGTAGCAAGCTAGTAAAACAACAATTAATTGACAAAGATAAATGGATGAAAACAACATTTCCTTACGTCTGAGATAATAATTTATCGTCTAGCGAGATAAGGCGACCTTGATCCATCAAAAAGATATACATGGTGATTACTGGAAAAAAAATTTATTTAGAGAAAAGGTAGATAAGTAAAATAAACTGGAAATCCCCCTCAAAGCTTTACAGAACTAACAAAAAAATGACCGATAGTACAGTATAATCATATATACAAAAAACAGTTGTATCAGTTGTTAGCCACCTCACAATAATGTAAGACGTGATGCAACTACATATTGATCCAAGTGTCTTGTTTTCCTTGCGGTAGTAATAGTAGCAGCATTCGCAAAAAACTTTTCGTTTCTAAAGCAACTTGGATGACTCTCCCGGTAAACCACATTGTACGAACATACCATGTACCTAAAGCAAGGGTTGCGCTGGTTGATAGCAGGGGCATCGGGCTCGTGACTCTCTAAGGAATTCCGCTTTGATCATAAGACGTCGTAACTCATGTGAATAAGGACCTTCTAACTCCCAGGAAAAAAATTTAAATGGTCTGAACTATTTTTTCTGGTTAGCGATTCTTAGAGAGACGTTTTCTACGGAATGTGATCGCTAAACCCATGCCCAACACTCATATTTTAGGCAGGTTTGGAAAATGCAACAGCTCCATATATGCGGTAGTAATTTAAAAGAACTAACACACTCAATTAATTGTTGTCTATGATGATTTTCAAGTAACAATGACAAATATAGATGGTTTATTGCAATAACTATATGAACACTGTTTCTAATAAATATCTCTTTTAATGAGAAATGTTATTTCAAAATTGATATGCGTGAAGTAGTTAGATGTATAAACCACTGTACCTTATCTTGCAGTCCCATCAGGTTTGCTAGGCTGGCATCTGACGAAATCGCAGCACAGATTCAGAAACTCTGAACAGCCTTTACCAACTTGTGCGAATTATGGAATACATTGGATAACTGTCCGTCAACTGAAGAGCGAATTTAATGCTCAAAAGTTCACTGTTTTACTGTACGGTCGTAAAACGCGACCGTTAAAAATATAGGATATCCATAAGCTACTATTATTTGGACGTAATGTTTTCGAAGCATGGTTCATGCACTTTTAGACCTACCAATCATAGTATTAAACATTCCCCACCACCCTGACTTTACTTTGTATGACTACGTTCACTAAGTATAATCTGACACGACTGTCATGAACGATATGGAGTTTTTTGACTCATCTTTCAGTATGTTTCATGAGTCACTCTGTTTTCCTCTTAATCGCTGCTTTTTGTACACTAACACTGTCTATTCACGTTTTAGAAACATAGTTTATCAAGCCAAATAGCTTACTTGTTCTGACTTTGGCCAAGTTAAGACTATGTTGTGCAGCGGAAGAATTAGCTTAAAATTTCATCAATAGTTAATTACTTCCAACCCATCCAGTGACCAATACTCATGTCCGACGCAGATAATAGGTAGAGATAGGAAATCGGCTTATCAGGTAGATATTTTTATCAACGAAAGTGAACGAGTCATGAGATGAATATCAGCAAACAGTACTTACATTGACCCACGAAGCAAGGTGGTGTAAGTGTAGATTGAAAGAAAGCTACAACCAGACAAACTGATACGTGGCATCAGTTTATGTAGTCACTGACTGTTGGACTAAATTGTGTTGGGAGATACAGACTGACTGGTTACGTTCCACACAATTATCGTAACCAAGAGCTGAAGATAGGTAAAATAGCTTAGGATCCGTTACCATAGAAAAGGTGTAACCAATTAACTGTACTATCAAGAATAGTACTGTTATTTCTATTACGTTAGTATTCATCTCGGCGATTTAAACCAAGGTCAGATTCTAAATCGATTTTTATTTTACCTAAAGCAGTAATATAATTGTGTAGAAATATAAATTACAAAATAGGTCAAATTTATCAGTGATAAATTGCTTCAACACCTTGTGATATGGATGGTTTTGCATAAAAACCCAACTTACAATTTATTGTATGACCTAGAACAAACTATCTCAAGAAGTTTGAACTTTTCAAATAATTTGGATTGAATCAATATCCAACCCCCATAATTGCTTACACAATTGTTATCATTATTCGAAGAGTTTCCTGATGCGATTACCATCCAGATTATTGACTTGAAGTTAAGATGACAGTAATAATGGTGTACAAAAAAGTCATGAAATCCTGAAACAGAAAACCAAGCAGTAATGGTACATTTTTAATTATCACTGGAAAACCAACTAAACAGTTTACGGTAAAAGTGATTTAAAATAATGTAACTAGGATGGAAAGTATTTGAGTAAGGTCAAATAATATGCACCACAAGTCAATATGAACAGTTAGGGATCAAATCACTCGACAGGACTTGTTAAAAAAGATCAAACTGCTTAGAAATTGTAAAGAAATGGCTTGACGATAAAAGGTGATCGACACTCAACCACTGAGTAATAGTTTAAAAGCAAGCTTCACTCACTTCGGATCGGGAGTCGAGTAGGACCATCAGTCAATACAAAGTGCGAGTATAAAGCTGAGGATAAAACTCTGTGCTTCTCAAACATTTCTTAAGATAACTGGGAACCTACTTCCATCATTTATGTTATAATATGTAGAGGTGATAAATCTTTTGTTATTTCATAACCTTCGCTCAGGTTAACTACACATGTTGCAGGTTGGAAACTTGAGTCTTAGATATCATTTAGATGCTAAGGTACAGGTATAGTACATAAACTGAATCACAGAAGTGACAATTAATCCTACAATATGTTGTCAGGTTTAAGTTTTCATTTAGTGTTAGTGACAAATAGTTTGTAGAGCGACAAAAGTATGGACAGAAACTGAAAACGTAATCGGGTACCAAGATTTAACGACTATAGTCCTCATAATTAGAACAAAAAACTAAAACAAATTTGGATATACAATGAAAAATAAATTAAAATTACCAACATTACCATATTCAAAAACGACATTATTCAGATCGTTCGAATCAACAAAAACGTAAATGAGAACCGAACGATGTTGCTACATAGTGCTGAAGCGACTTGTATATCGTGATGAACCAACCGAGCTATATTGGTTGCAACATATGTTCCTGAAGGCTCTACTATACAAGACAGGTTGATTGGAGAACGGTGAGACTGAAAACAGCAACTCAAGGTTCGAGAGTCAAGTCGTACTGCTGACTGTAGAGGTGTGATAGCAATAAGGTGCCTCTCTCGGACAGCCAGCGTCTGCTGCGATGCTGCTTTCTCACAAGGAAGGAAGGATTCAGAAAAGGCCGACCCTAAAAATGCAACACTTCACCTTACCTCAAGGATTTCCGTCTCCGTCAATAAAGCCACTTGAAGAGCAGATCTTTCACCTCAAAAACTTCTCATAAAAAGACCGTGCGTGTGACTGGCCTCAAGCAGTTGTTACTTGGGCTCTGCGGTTACGCTCCCAGGTTGAATGATTATCTCGTTAAACCTTCATCAGCGAGACTCCAGGAAGCAGCAGTGATGTTTCTAGACGCCTATATGGTAAACTGAGTTTTTTCTTTATTTTTCATTGGGGTGATAAAGGAAAAAGTGCGACTGGTTAGTCTTGTATATGGGGGAGATGTTATGATTTTGATGAATTGTATTTTACCCAATTCGAAGACACAAAAGCCAAAATTAGGACCTTTATCAAGTGCTTGAGGCCAGTCACACGCACGGTCTTTTTATGAGAAGTTTTTGAGGTGTTAGTTCCGCTCTTCAAGTGGCTTTATTGACCGAGACGGAAATCCTTGAGGTAAGGTGAAGTGTTGCATTTTTAGGGTCGGCCTTTTCTGAATCCTTCCTTCCTTGTGAGAAGGCAGCATCGCAGCAGATGCTGGCTGTCCGAGAGAGGCACCTTATTGCTATCACACCTCTACAGTCAGCAGTACGACTTGACTCTCGAACCTTGAGTTGCTGTTTTCAGTCTCACCGTTCTCCAATCAACCTGTCTTGTATAGTAGAGCCTTCAGGAACATATGTTGCAACCAATATAGCTCGGTTGGGTCATCACGATAGGCAAGCCGGACCAGCACAAATTAGCAGCTATGGTCGGGAGCTCTATAGAAGGTTGCAGTCAATCGCTGTAAAACGCCCAACAAACGACCTGACCATTTTAATGAGAAACTTAAAGACCAAGGTTAGAAAGGACAACACTGGATATGAAGACATCATCGGACGACATGGACTGGAAGAAAAGAACGAGAACGGTGAGAGGTTCGCAATTCTATGCGCCTCCAACAAAATGGTTATGGGCGGCATACCTTGGCCAGTCAAAAAATCTACGGGTTATGACCCATCATCTGATTGGATGATAATCATCCAATTTATAAATAATTTTTGTAAGTTTTTCAGAGGCTAAGGTCTATATGGAGTGCAAGTAGTGTTACTGTCAATGATAGGTACAGATAAAGGAGGGTTGAGTATGAGACTAACAACCCATCTTGTGGATGTACTGTTAAATGAAATGAAAGATTCAGTAGACACCCAACTTCCAGATCAATAGGCCAGATTCCGTAAGGATTGACTGTGTTCTGACCAAAGAGTAACACTGCGGAACAGTGTGGAACGGTCAATTGAATAGAACTCACCACTGTACATCAACTTCATTGACTAAAAGAGAGCACTTGATAGCGCGGACCGGATAACATTATGGAAGCTTGTCCGACACTATGGCGTGCATGAACATATTGTCAACATCACACGGAATTCGTACGATGGGTTCGATGATCTGACACCGACAGCAACAACCATGAAATAAACCTCAACTTGGAGTACTCTAGGACAAGGAGGAGGAAGACCAAAGAACATATTACGCCGAGGATTGGAAGCAGACATGAAGACTATGAACAGCAATTGAATAGAACTGGAAGGGAAAGCCAAGGACAGAGTAGGTTGGAGAATGCTGGTCAGTGGCCTGTGCTCTATTAGGAGCAACAAGTATAAATAAGAGTAGTGTCACTAACAATGAATGATAGAATACTTGTAACATAACTGAAGATATCTCATTCAGTCACTCAGTTTTGGGACAACCTAACTAACTTAGTAAAAAGGCAAAGTGGTATTAATTTTTCCAGTTCAATAACTTGATGTTACCAATAATGAGAAATCTCAAAACATTGTTGTGTTAGATAAAACGGCTAATACTATATGATCGAATCCTACTTAGTTAGCCATTTCGTTAAGTATATAACCTGACTTTACCATTTGTTGTCACTCATCAGCGACTTGAAGATCAATAGCTCATTCATATGACAGGTGGGCGTCCTAATAACCCCTAAACACCTGAGAGTAACACTCCACGATTGTAAGCTTTTACATTGGAAATAAAACTTGTAAACTTTTAGCCGTTGTCGCAGTAAGCGTTCAAGGTCTTGGATAGATCTGATATAAACTTTTAACGACCCTATCCCACAGGTCGTGATTAGAAAACCCAAAGTATCAGTCTAGGTATATTGTATATCAAGGAAAATAAAAGGTCACACATGTTTGATCTCACCAAAATACTGGAACGGTAACAGTTGATTGGGGAAAAAAATCAAAACGGTATGGTGAAGTGCTGGTAAAAACACATCAAACCTTTAAAATAAACAATTAAGATGAGTTCCAGTCCTGCAATCAAACAAAAGATACGAACACTCCAATTATGACACACAATATAAACACTAACCCATACCATGAAAGGCTAAACAATCCCCAAAGATCAGCTGTAACGATCAGGAGACATTAGGGAACAAGTTAAACAAACACAAAAGGTCACACAATGTTCCCTTTCAATATACAATGTCTTTTTCAAGAGCTAGTATATGCCGAATGACTTCTTTGCGCTCGAATCTTGTTTCATGGTACGATTCCGGGCATTTGGTTCCGCCTATTGGATGGTGGTCTAGCCACTTGACTGCATTGATTCGAATCAGTAAGCAGATCCTTTGAAATTTGTACGTCTGATGATTTACGTAACTGCTGCATTCTGCATTTCTGAGGTTTATTCCCTAGCCTTATCACTGATTTGGTTTCTCACCTTTTGACTCGATCTATGAAATTTATCTCCTTTTTAAGAAAAGAGGTTGCTAAAACATTCTGAACTTTAAGGTGTGGCTTTGCATACGTTTTAAAGAGAGCTAAGAACATTTCTGTGGTGATGGCATCAAGTTTTCTTCGCATAATGTGGAATGTTACATTAGCCTTAGTTGCATCCACTATGCAGTTCGAAGTGGTGGCCAGGCGTCTACTGGTTATGAGACGAAGATCGCACTCTAGGGAAACATCTGAGAGCGGAATTTCACGGAGGATGTCCGTTGTTTGTGTCGCGTGAGGCAGAATGCTGCTGGTGTGGCATTTCAACTGGTTAAGTTTGAACCCGTTGCCCAATACCCATCATTCCATCAGTAAAAGGTTATTTTGAAACTTCATTGAATCCTAATCCCATTTTGTAGACCTCCAGATGGTTTTATCATCTGTTATGATCATTGCTGTAGAACTAATTTTATCTAACAAGTTAATAAATTTTAGGAAGACGAGTGGTCTTAAGATGGTCCCCTGTAAAACTCCTGATGACAAGGCTCTCCAACCCTCATGCACTCTTTGTACCTTGGTAAAAATCTTTCCCTTGAGAGGCGTGATAAACAAATCTATAGGATAAATAGTTTGTAAGTCCATGACTTTGATGTTGACCCTGTTGGTTTTGATGAATGTATTCACCTGAAGCTTGGTTCACTTTCAAAAGTAAATGCAGGATCAGTCCATTAAACCTATTTCATTAGCAGATTACTCGGAAATAACCTGTATTGAATCTTCACGTCATGATGCTGCATCCTGTGTTTGCCACGCATGCCTAAGTAAGTGTCCGGAGTGTGTTGAGAACGTTTTAAGATGTATAGTCGAAATTGCATAGCAGGTTGTTTGCTGACTAATTAGATTAAAAACTACTCCGTTAACATATATCAAACAATTGTTGGTTGGTGGATTCCTAATTGCCGCATCTGGGGAGACTGTAGCAGTAAATAAATCCGCAAAGTAAATAGTTCTGTAAGTCTTCGATATTGACGCTGACCTCACTAGTTATTGTGGAAACGCCCTATGTGATCGATCACGCATATGTACCAAAACACTGTGTGGCACACGCTGCAATGCATCTGCTAGCATTAACTAGCATGCTTAGTTCACCGGCCCCACAAAACAGCAACCATCATTCAAATATACCTTCAATCCTCACCACTCCTGGTTTCATATTTGGTTGGGTTTTAGGAATCCTCAGTTTGAAACGTGGTGTCGTCAAACTGTTAGCTTGATTTTACCTGGTTCACTCAACGGAAAACTAACTCCGTTTTTTATCACAGCGTTAAATATATTCGTAAAGTTTTACCTATCTTGCTATTATCATCAATCAGAGGTTTTTCGGTGTATTTATACATATTCTATGCTTATTATGTCGGCACGCATACGTGAGCAGGAATGCCTTCAACTTCCCTAGCATTAGGAACTCCGTTACAAGCATTGCTGAGGACTTGTTTGCCAACATGCTTGATGACAATCGTTGCCGGTAAAAATAGCCGTCTTTATGTATAGCTGATGTGATGATTAGGAATCGTGTTGGGAAATGCTGAGTACCGATGACATTTTTGAGAAAATTACCTGGTTCTACATTATTTTTGGATATTTAGGTTCTAATAGGCATGGAAACATTTTTCGTAATGTCCTTCAGATGATTAGTTTGCACTGTTGTAATGCAATTAGGCAGATATTACAACGGTCTGTTAGCGGACTGGGTGTCTATGACTTCGATTTTGATAGCACTATCCATGACTCCCACACCAACAAGTTTGCGCTTTGGAAAACAGCCATATGTTGCTTATCGAATCGTTCTGTAGATGTGACATTCAAATCTGGAGAGATTGTATAGTAAAAAAAGCTAGATACGAGGACTTGAGTGAAAATCAGATAAAGGAATATCAATTTCATCCGAAGTGACTGATTTATGCGTTTTGCGTCACACCAGTCAAATATTTAGAACTTTAAGCGTTGCAATACACCAGCCGGACTCCAGAGTTTCCGCAAACGCGATATGTAGACATATTGCGTCTGTTAAATGTTGAATGTTATTTCCCTCGCTATTTTCTTCTCCTTTGTTATTTATGAACCCAAGACATTTCATGCTTTCGGCATAATTATTGCGGTTATTGACAGTTCGGGTAATATCGTTCCTATCCCCCAGCTTTTCTAGGGGAAAATAATATACCTATCGACTCCAGGGGCAAAAAGGTTGCTAGATAAAATCAAAAGCTTAAAATAGCGTGCTTTCAGAACAGTTAACTCACTTGACTGTGGTTGGATTTAAAACATCAGGACAACGATCTGCAAAACTCTATAATTAAAAATCATGAAGTATGCTCCCTGAGAAAATTCTCGGAGTTAAACCCTGTCGAGTGTCGGCAGTAACTACCGAGGACAGTGAATGAGGATGAGTAAAGTCAAATTTCGACAGTAAAACACTGTTGGACATCGGTTCAGTGGTCTAGAGGCTAAACGTCCGTGTGAGGGACCGAAGTACATGGGTTCGATTCCCGCCAGCGGGGGCCACGGATGCATACTGATGGATTACCACAGTCATATTCTTCAGCGCCTACCTCGCTCTGCTCGCATTGGATACATTCATATACCAGTCTTGTTAGACTATATTCTCATCAAACTCAACTGTGATGACCATACGATCAGGGGGTACGAAAAATCTATTGAAATCCAGGTTCTCCGACCACATTTAAAATTATATGTGAAGTTGGCGACTGATCGTGGAAACAGTAAGATGCAATCACTCTTGGGCTACATTTCTTCACGGAACAATGCCTAATTGACTTTAGCAGCTCACGACTGGACTCTAGTGCGGATGAATAATCGAGTGTGCAACTAAATAAATATTCCTGCCCATTTCCGTATTTCATACTTAGGCAAACCCTTTTGTGCTGCGGTGATAATAAGAAGCCAAATACCGTTTCAGAGGATGAATTTATTTCATTCATTCACGTATACAGACAGACTTCAGAATGGAAAGCATACAAGTAAAACAAATTGGATTGGAGAAGGCGGATGATCCAACTCTCCATGAGCTTAAGAATGACTAAGTATTTATAGTCAAGCGATAATTGGCTAGACATATGACGGGCGAGTAAGCAAGCAAACACAATCAAGTAAACAATAATCGATACTGTGATCGAATTATTACAAATACAAAACGACAAATTATTTAAGTGCAATGAATGAATGTTGAGATGCTACATGACAACTCTCAACGTTCTGACGAACAACGAAGGTAAAACGTATGAGCTCCTGTTGAAATAGAGTCAACAAACATCTTGACTACCACGCACTACATAAAATGATTGGAGGTGCGCCTACAACCTTAGGTGTCTCAGAGATAAACATCGAATCTGAACTAGCGTATCATAAACTGCAATATCTAAACGAGGATGCTTCTCTTGGCACGAATGTGGTTCACTCGGCTACAATACAAGAAGCAGCTTCATTCTCGGCAGCATCACTCGGCAAAATCACACCTGATATTTTCACGTTCTATAGTTGAAGACACAGTCCTAGACAGTTAGAAGCTGACTCGCAGCACAAATTCTCAAAAGAGGCCGATGCAATTATCATTTCACTACTCTCAACTGTAATGGAGTCTTTGGTATACTATGGTTTAGGTGACCACTTATTATCGAAAACCTCTTTTCACCCCATCAGCGCGGTTTCGAAAAGAGCTGCCCCCGTGTCACCGACCGGTTGGTTTAATAAGGAAAAGGAAAACTCAAAGCTACTTACTTACGCCTGTTACTGTCAGTGGACCGGTATTCTCCAACCTACTCTGTCCTGAGCTTCCCTTCCTATCCTCTTCAAGCGATTCTTTCTGATTTCTCCCTCTGCCGGAATCTGGTTTGTTCTCTCCTAAAGTAGGTTGTTGCTGATGGTATCTGGCCAACGAATCGGAAGTATTTTGCGTAGACAACTGTTAATCAACACTCGTATCTTCTGAATGATGGCTTTCATAGTTCTCCAAGTTTCCGCCCCATGCAGTACAACCATCTTGATATTTGTATTGAAAATGCTGAGTTTTGTGTTTTTTGACAGTTGTGTTGAGTCCTAAAGGTTGTTCACTTGTAGAAATGAAGCCCTTGCTTTGCCGATCCGCACCTTCACATCTGCATCAGATCCACTACTCTCAAAAATGATGCTGCCCAGATGTGTAAATGTTTTTACATCTTCCATGGCATTTCCATGAAGGGTGACTTGCTTGTTGCATACTGTGCTGTACCAGAGAATTTTGCTCTTACCTCTATGTATGTTGAGACCTACTGCTACAGAGGCTGCTGCTACACTGGTCGTCTTCTCTTGCATTTGTTGTTGCGTGTGCGATAGAAGAGCCAGGTCATCTGAAAAGTCCAGATCGTCCATCTGCATCCTAGCTGTCCATTAGATACCGTGCTTCCCTCCAGATGTTGACGACTTCATAATCCAGTTGATCACCAGGAGAAAGAGAAAGGGAGAGAGTAGGCAACCTTGCCTGACACCGGTCTTCACCTCGAACAAGTCTGTCAGCTGTCCTCCGTGAACGACTTTGCAGTTCAATCCATCATAAGAATTCCGAATGTTCTAGAATTTCTTCTTTGGCACGCCGAGGTGTCGAAGAAGCCTCCATAGTGTTGTTCTGTCCACGCTATCGAATGCTTTCTTGTAGTAAAGTGGTGAGTTCCTTTCAGCTGATTGT